TGATTGACATACGTATTGAAGACTCTAAGAATCGCTCTTCTACAGGACCTTATTTATTTTAGTTTAAGGCAAACATTTTTGGCCTCAGAACTCTTTACTTAAAATCACAGAACATGCTTGGGGAAACACTTTCAGAAATTAAGACATGACACCGGGTGAACTGTAACACTTGGGATGTTTCATAGACTCCCAAATCTCACACTAGTTCACAAAACACAGTGCCTCATGCTTTATGAATCTCCAAAGCTGTACAGAGAAAAAAAAGAAGAAGAAGAAGAATTTAAGAACATAAACATAAGACAGGAAGCAGAAATTTCAAAACCTGTGGGAAAATTATTGCACCCAATTGGCCCTCACTTAGATTCACAAAGCATTAATTAAGATTAAACTCTCTAGGATGTTCACAGTTCAAAAACAACACCACAAGCCACTCAAAAAGGATTATGTCCTTCCTTGCTCAATAGCTGTCAATCTTCCTAGTCATCCAGATCTTGACTTTGTTTTTTTTTTTTGCAGGACTGGGATTTGAACACAGTGCCTACACCTTGAGCTACTCCACCAGACCTTTTATGTGATGAGGTTTTTTTTGATATAGGGTCTCATACACTATTCACCTGGGCTGGCTTCAAACCATGATCCTTCTGATCTCTGCCTCCTGAGTAGCTAGGATTACAGGCATGAGCCACTGGCACCCAGTGATTTGTACTGATAACCTGAATTTAGAGAGAGCTCTACCCAAGTAGCCATTGGAAGCAGAGAATCTCCCCTATCCTAGTTAAAAGTCGATCCTTACTTCCTCAGCCTCCTGACATATGCACTGACCTATGACCTTGGCTTTCACTTGGGTGCTGGTGACAGACAAGTGAGGATCTCTCAAGAAAGGCACAGGCTTAGCAAACATTGTTAACTGAGCCTGTGAAGCCAGCCCCATGGCTGAACTTTTCAGTTACATGAATGATGGCTTCTCTCTTTCATTTAACTACTTTAGTTTTATTTTTAGGTACAATCATGAGGGAATATAGGGCAATCTAAGCAAGTGAAGCAAAGAAAGAACCAAAATCAGAATTGATAGATTGCAAATATTGGAGCAAGGAAGGCATTAACAAGGGCTGAATTCGAAGGTAAGGTCAACATGGAGGGAAAAAACAAAATAGATCAATAAGCAAGGATGTCAGAATCTGGAAAAATCAGCAGCAGGATGAAATGTTGTGTACAAAGTATATGGGGTTAGGATGATTTATAATAAATCTATGAATAATGAGCAAATAACATGATTTAACCATTTAGGTGCAGCCCAGAGCACAATATAAGATGGGTTGGGGGGTCAAGAAGATATCCCAGGGCTGGAGAGTGATTCAAGCAGTAAAAAGACATCTCAGGTGGATGGCACTTGGTCGTTAATTCTGAATATAGGAAAAATTCAAAGTAAGAACCCCTCAGAGAAAGCTGACATGTCTAAAAATACAGATGTGATAGCAGGGTGGTTTTATGACTTCAGGTAAATTTATAATTTTTCTTTGATGTGACTGTTCATATAGTTATAAAGTCAAAAGGGAATTCCGAAAGGTAAAGAATAAAATTTGACCTTCTTATGAAAGCAGAATTTGTCTTACTATTAATCTCCCTATAATGAAGCTATTGAACAATGCCAAAATAATTCGACTTTTTTGTGAAAATATCAGATTGCCATTATCTCTTTGTCCTCCCACTCAACAAAACAAATTGATATGAAAAAGACAGTTTGGTCCCTCAAGGAGCTTGCAATCCTAGTGAAAGAAAAAGATCCACAAATATTCAACCAGAAGAGAAACAAACAACATGCAGAGATGAAAGCAAAACATTCCAAGAGGTTGCAGAGAAGGGAATTATCAATAATACCTGCCAAAAAAAGGCAGGCTGTAAGGTCAATGGATTTCCTCGATTTCAACTTTTTAGTCAAGGGGGTGATAAAGTATTAATACTTGCACTATTTATGGCATTATATTCAGGAAATTATACAACTGGAATTTAATTTTTTTATTTATTAACAGAATTGTGAGAAACGAGACAACCCAAATGGAAGGACATTCTATACAATAACTGATCTGTACTCTTTAAAGTGTTATATTATTAAAGATAAAGGCGGAAATTTTAATCCTGATTAAAAGATATTTAAAGAGACAATGACAATTAAATGCAAGACTGGAATGGATCCTAAATTATGCAAACAAAAAAATGCACTGAGATGCACTCCACCTGAGCCCTGGAGACATTAAGGTCAGTCCCAACTCTTAGTCCAGGGTTTTGTGGCTGACAGAATTGCTCTGGACTCCCCCACATAGGATGGCATGGCATTTACGCAATAGCCAAAATATCCTGCTGCACCCAGATGATTACCTCAGTAAAATGGAACAGTCTATACTGAAACTTGAGGAAAAAGTCACCTAGCGTTCTAAGGCAGACACCAATGGTTTATGAAATTTTTTCTGCTTGTTGGGTCAGAACCCTGGGGAGACATGGCCGAGGTCAATGCTGCAGATTGGCTTCGTTGTGCTGCTCAGGTCCTATTGATATTAACCTTAATTAAATGCCACATTAGACAAATGGAATGGATTAGGTTCCAGCCGCTGTCATTCAGAGTAATCAGAGTGGCCAATCAACTAGCATACTCATGGGAAAATTCATTAAAGAAGGTGTAGAAAGCAGTAGGTACTATGAAAGCCAATTTCCCACGAGTCCTTCTGTGTCTACTGTCACCGCACAGCTTTTTTCTAAATTAGCTTTGCAACAGTATTTGTGGAGCACATATAGACAAGTTACCTCCTTCCAGACAATGGAAACATCTGTTTGCTATCCAGAATATAAACCTAAGATCTCTCTGGGATAAAGCTTGGGCAATTTTTCTAGCATCCCCCTCATAAGATGGGGAGTTTCCTAAACTCAGTATGGGACACAAACCTCTGTATATAGGATCTCCCTGGCCATGGGCACATCATACCCATGGACTAAGGAGAAAAATAACCGACAGGAACACAAAGTCTATGCTGCTCACTTTACTATGTGTCATAAAGTCCATTTCTGACCTAGGAATTTCATGCCTTCTGCTAACACTTGTGAGACCATGGTAGGGTAACTTATCTTGCAAGTAGAAAAAAAAAATCTGACTCTCACACTTTTTGACAAAAACCAGCTTCATACAGGTAAATACCACACTTATGGATTTAAAAACGCAACGTTGTAATGATAGCAGTTCTCCTCAAACTGATCTGAATACGTAACGAAACCCCAGTCAAGTTCTAATAAGGTTTTTCATGGAAATGAGCAAATTGATGCTAAAATATATACGTAAGCATAGAGCCCTTAGAATAGCCAAAACAATGCTATCAAAGAGCAAAGTTGGAGGACTTACACCTTTAGGTGTACTTTATAGCAATCCAGACATCACAGTACTTGCACAAAATTAGACAAATACGTCGATGGGGCACAATGGAAAGTCTCCCATACATATACAACAACTGAATTTTAACCAAGAACCCAGTGCAATTTAATGTGGAAAGAAACTGGATCTACTGATAAAATATTTTTTAAATTATCAACCTACGTCTTACACCATACATAAACTCCTACACAAAGCTTAACCTACAAAGCACCTATGAGAAACCATGCATGCACATGCTGGAGACCTTGGGATAGGCAAGATTCGAATTATAAAAAACAAAAAGACAAAATGAAACTGCGCCAAAATTTTAAGTGCCTGCTCCTTAAAGGATAACGTGGAAGAAATGCAAGCCACAGACTAGGGAGAGATATTCAGATTCCTAGCAAAGAACCCACATTTAAACAACACGAAGAAGGGCTGCAAAAAAATAAGAAAAAGGCAAACAGCCAGTATCTTTAAAAAAAAAGAAGGCAAAAAACTTCCAACAGGTGCTACACAAAAGAGGATTTACAAATGCTCAAGAAACATATGAAAAAGGTATTGAGTATTTTTAATCATCAGGAAAATGCAAATCACTTAGATACCACTTAACTCTCACTAGCAATACCACAAAGACTGCAAATACCAAAATAGTGGAGAGAATTTGGAGCAACTGGATATTGGTGGAAGCTTGAAATGGTACAACAGCTATGGAAAAATGTTTGGTCAAATTTTTGGTTAAACCTCCATGGACATTATTATTTAATGGTTCCACTCAGATGTTCAATCCCAGTCCAAAAGAAAATATATGTCAACAAAAGGCCTATGCAAAAATGTTTAGAGCACAATGTTGGAAACAATGTAACATTTTAACAAATATATTAACAACTGAGTTAACATTTTAATGCATTTGGGTTCTTTGTTAAGATTCATTTCCTGTTTTCAACTGGAAAACAGACGGACAAACTAGTATACTCACGCAATGGAATATTACTTACTAATAAAAAGGAATAAACAACTAACATAAACAAAAAGTTCATAAAGCTTACAACATTTAAGAAGCCACAAATTAACATGTGTGGTACATGAAGTCTGGACATACAGAATTGTATACAAAGCTAGAAAATGGAGTGGTCGTGTCCTGAAAGCAGTGCAGTAATAGACTGGAAATGTCTAGTGAGTGTCCTAGGGGAGAAATGTCCTCAATCTTCCTTGGGATGTCTGTCACATGGGTGTATACAGTTGTCAAAACTCCTCAAATTTTATACTTAAATCTATAAAACTTATTGCATGTCATTCTGAATTCAAAATGAAAAGGGAAAGACTGCAATCTAGAATTTATTTAAAACTAATTTTCCTCTGTTCTATTCAAGGTCTAACATCTAAATCAGATAAATACACTGTGAGATTATTTGCTCTGTTTCCACAGGTGTCGAGAGAGATATCTTCCCAGCCTTCACTCAGGCACCAAGGCAATAACATCAGGAAAATGATTAATCAGAATCCGATAATGCCTGTTTGCAATGTGGACAAGAAGGACGAACACTCTGGATTATAAAAGCCGGTGGGACCCTGGGTCAGCCTACCGACCTAGTCAGGCACAATGATGCTGTTCCTGACTCTGCTGAGTGTGGCCCTGGTGTCTGCTCATCCTTCTACTGAGCGCTTTGAAGGGTAGGTAAGAAATTCCTTTGCTAGTGCAAAACACTGAACACATGGCCCAGTTTAAATTTTTCTATTCTTCTCTCTCACCACATAGCAATAAGGTTTTCCGTGTCAGTGTTGAAAGTGAAGGTCACATCGACTTAATTCATGAATTGGCCGAATCCCACCAGGTAAGCAATAATTCTATACTTTGGATTTGCTCTGAACCAACTTTAAAACCTGATTGTACTGTGATTCCATCAAAGGAGGAAGGACATGAAATATTATCCATAGTATTTCTGGTAGCAGGAAATAAAACCTTGGACAGCGTTCAATGCCGCAATGCCTTCTCTTTCTGCTTAGATGAGAATGCCATGAGCCCTGGAGTGTTATAAATCCATGCAAACTTTTAAGAGCTGACAGTGTGACAACTGGATGAGTTGCATCTGTCTCGAAGGTCACCAAACATCTAATGTGCAGTCACTTCCCTTCTAAGGCAAGAGAGAAAAATGATCAGCTTGGATATTACTGAAAAACTGGGCTTTTGTCCAACTTCAAATTCATTTCCACATCCCATGGATCATCTGTTCTCTTTGATTTTCTTTCATTCCAAATCAAACAGCTTGAGTTTTCATGACCTTGATTCTGTACCCTTACTGATATGACCTGAGGGAGGAAAAGAAGGCAAAAAACACAAATTCCCTATTTGTCTTTTGCTTTCGGAAAAGTAAAGTTTCTGTGCTGCTTTTAAAAAATCACTGTATCTGGGGTGAGCCGTGACATCTCAGATTATATATGTAGTGTGGCAGGAGTCTATTAATGACCACAAATCGCCAATGCTAATTCATGAATTTATAAACTAAAATAATCTCCTAGCTCCTAATGTCTGTCTATCTATCTATCTGTTTATCCATCTATCTATGTGTTTATCTTTCTTTTTCTTTTTTTAGCTTTTAAGGTATGGGGGAAGGAAAAAATATCGAGAGTGAAATAATCATGGAACCAGAACTTTTTCATTGAGAGAGAATATGTAGTCACCTGTTCCAGCCCAACACTTAAATCTGGAATTTCCTCCCAGGAAATAGCATCTTTGTTTGCTGGCTCTAATAAAACCTGGTCCATCACTTCCAGATAGACTTCTTTTCAGAATAGCCCATCTTCTTCATTTTCTTCATTATACTGAGCTGAAAGCTGCTTTCTTTAACTTCAACTCATTACACCCAGCTTTGCCAAATACAGTCTATCAAGGTGCATTTTGACAGCATAAATCCAAAATACTGCATTGCATTGAGGTAAAAAAGCAATTAGGCAAGCACAGAAGGAAGAATACCTTGCTTAGGGGGTGATTCAAGTGAGAGATAAAACACATTGAGATCTTTTTAAACACTGTCATCCAAGGAAGTCATTCTTTCACTGAACTTTGCGTAAGCATGCCTTCTCAACTTTTGCTTTTGTCACGGATAATGAAAAATATTAAGTCAGGGGTCTACACAGAAAAAAAGACCACCTTGGTGGTTCACTTGTTCCAGATATATTTATCATGAGTCCTCAATGTGCCAGACCTAGTCTGGGCCACAGAAAGTGATACAAGAACCTACAAGAAGAAGTTTGGTCAGCTACCCTAAGTCAGTGGGGTGTGACCTAATGCTAACAGGGGGCCACTTTCTGGCTAGTGAAGACAGACATTGAAGGGTTCCTCAAATCCTTTACTATGCTTGAGATTCAACCAGGTTAGCAATCTCTTCCAGCTGAAGCTAATTGGGCCTGACTTGCTCTTGCTTTAAACCATGCTGGCTGGCTGCAGAGATCACAGCTTCCTTTACTGAGATGGTGCAGTCCATCTGCTTTCACTTTACTCTGCAGCTTTGCTGGAGCCCATGCCAGGCCCCGGGAGCCCCTGCTTCTGGGCTTCACCTGTTCTCCTGTTTATGAAATGCAAAACTAACCTCCTCCTCTCCCCCGTGAGCCCCTCAAGCTCTGCTCCTTCCAATATTGCTGAGAAAGTTCTGCAATCACATCTGCAGGGTTTTTGGTCTGTTTTTTTTTTAATCTAAATTCAGCATTTTGTGGTGGTCAAGAACAGAAAATTTGGTCTCAAACTGCCTAGGTTCCATTCTTGGCCCTACTCCTAGCCAGCTGGGCCTTTGGTGACACTCTGGGTCTCAACCAGCTCATTCACAAAATGATGATAATACTATGCCTTAGAGGGCTGTTGGGAGAGTTAGAAGAATTAGTGTAAATAAATCACTTAGAACTTAAATAGGAAAGACTGTGTAAGTGTCTGACTATTACTGTCATTGCACCGGAGATTTCTAAGCACGGTTTACATGACAGTGTATTCACTTAGCTCCACATCTACATTTGGTCTTGATGTTCTTTTTCCAGAAAAAGTATTTCTGTTTAAGTAACATGTGAATAATTCTTTGCTTATCTTGATGGTAATTTCATCTCTCAGTAGAATAGGAAAAAAATAGCAAAATTTCTTCCTGGAGAAGACAGAGGCAAGCGAGAACTAAATAGAACTTCTTTCTTGCCTCCAGCTACAAATGTCAGGCTTTACCACCTAGCAGGAGGATGCAGGTTCTGTCTTTATATTTTTATTTCCTCCATGATTTGAAAAGAGCTTTTTATTCTCCCCAGCAATCTTGTGCATGTGGTATATTCTGGGCTGTAGCCTTCCTGAAAAGATCATCCCAAGGGCATCCAGTCTTTGTGTTCATCCAGCTTTTGAACATGTCCTGTTAAAAGCTGAGTGTGTCATGGAGATCGGTGGCCACACTGTCCTCCAGGTGCCTTTCCCTTTCATCTGTAATTGTATAGTAAGGATTTGATTTTATCTCCTTGCAATCAAGGTTGTACTTGTTCTTTTATTGGAGATATTCACCATAAAACTTACTCTCCTTTTTCAGTTGTGTGCTTCCCAAGATTTAGGTGTGCTTTTTTTTTTCCTCTGCTGCTGTCTTCATCATTGCTGCCTTAGCAATAAGCTCCTTCCTGCTGTCTGAAATTAGGCCTAGAATAGAAAATGCTTCACATTCTAACAAAAAAAGAAAATTTTCTCAAGATAAATGAGGGGCTTATCAGATGCAGGACATATAGTTGAATTCAATGTGAAGAAACAAATTTGTCAAAATTTGTAAAGAACTAAAGACTCTCAGCACCAATATTTATTTTCTTCCATGCCAATCTTATTCCCCAAATACTTTAAGCTTCATGAACTACTTTATTTTGCTTTTATGCTAGTTTTGTGATGTGTTTAGTTAGGACTCTAGTTACTAGCCAGCCAGCTGATTGAGTTGTTATTCTCACAATGTTATTACTTAAAGATACCCCTTTATCATCAAGCAAATGTCACTGTTTCCTACATCATTTTATAACTGGTTTCATAACATCTTACCAGATACTTCAGTTCCCTGCATTTTATATCATATATTTCACCCCATCTCCAAATTTCAGGCATAAATCTCACTCATCAGTTCTTGGCAGTTTCTGAAATTCATATTATCTCCTTGTGTTCCGGAGCTTTTCATTTGTATCCACACAGTGCATTGGTAAGTAGCTGTGAGGACACAGTGTTGCAGTGGCTGTAAGGACACAGTGCTGCAGTGGCTGTAATGACACAGTGCTGCAGTGGCTGTAATGACAGTATTACAGGAGCTGTGAGGACACAGTGTTGTGGTGGCTGTAATGACAGTATTACAGGAGCTGTGAGGACACAGTGTTGCGGTGGCTGTAATGACACAGTGTTGCAGGAGCTGTGAGGACACAGTGTTGCTCCTCGCCTACTGCTATGTCTGTCTGGGAGGTGGCGGTCACCATGTCCACATAGTCACCCTGCAACACACTCGCTGCACTACACTCTGTTAGATGGTGACCAATCTTCTTCATGTCAATCTGACTTTTTTTGCAGTGCTGGGGATCTATCCTAGAGCCTTGCACATGTTAGGCAAGTCAGTCTACTGCTGAGCTGCACCCTCAGCTTCTCAAACCAAAATTTTTAAGCAGCCTCAGATTATGGTCTGCCAGTTTTTGTCAAACATATTTATAAATAACACTCCATCTTACAGAATCCATCAATTCACTGAAAAAATCTTAAAAGTAATACTCTCTATATATGTATCATGTTCTGATAATTGGTAGGGCTAGGACAATAAGCAAGAGTTTAGAGATCAGAGAAGGCAACTTGTCATTAAATAACAGAAAGAACGCCATCCTCAGGGCTATATTAGAGCCATCACCAAAGATATCATGCAGCATTTGTTGCTTTGACTAGAATAGAAAGCTAGTGTCCTAACAGAGGGTCTTCCAGAGAAGACCCTGAGACAAAGATTTGAGGGAAGGATTTCATGTGGGAAGTGTGGGGGCACTGGTTTACAGACACGGGGTACAGAGTAGAAATCTTACAGACAGGGGAATGCAATCATCAAAGAGGTCAGCCTGGCAATATGGCTCATGTCTGTAATCCCAGATACTAGGGAGGTAGAGATCAGGAGGATTGTGGTTCAAGGCCAGCCCAGGCAAAAAAGCTAGTGAGCCCCATCTCAATGAATAAAAGCTGGTCGTGGGGGTGTATGCATGACATTCCAGCCGTGTGGGACACACAAATAGGAGGATCACAGTCCAGGCCAGCCCTATCATAAATGCAAAACCCTATTCAAAAAAATAACTAAAGCAAAAAGGGCTAGAGCATGGCTCAAGCCATAGGGTACCTGCCTGGCAAAGTGCAAAGCCCTGGAGGAAAAGAAGAAACAAACCAAGGAGGCAGAATATTATGCAGGCTGCCAACCACAACTTGAGTTTAGCACCCAAAAAGCTTAGGAAAGACACAAAGCACACATTTCAAACCAAGCCCACCTAAGAGGCAAGAGAGGAGGAACCTACACAACTGGGTCACTGCTGAGTTCTCCAGAGTTATTTCCTGGGCATCTCCTGCCTGCCTGGAGCTGAGATGTGGCTTTTTCCCACTTCTGGGGAGGAGATCCCTCGGGAACAAATGTGTAGGTCTTAGAAGTGGGACACTAAAGCTCCCAGCTTAGGTATGGATGGGACGTTGTCCGGTCACCTGCAGACCCTGGGAAGACTTTGTGTGCATTACTAATGTAAAACCTGTCTGTGATGAAGTCGTACTTCCTTCCCCAGCCTGCTTTGGAGTGACAGGGACTTACTAAGAGCCCAAATCCAGAGGCAAATTTCAAAAACATGCTTTCTCTTACAGTGTGCTTATCCTCTTTGCCCCTCCTCCACAGCACTGGCCAACTGGAATTTGTCACCAGCCCTTTGATTCCTCTGTCCTCACCATGCATACTTTTATGCCTCCTCCACTGTCACTGATCTCCACCATTACCTTCCCCTCACTCTCTAAGTCCATCTAGCCACCAAGCTCTCTCTTTCCACACTTTCCTCTGCAATCCCTCTTGTGGAATCTCATTGTCTCTGCCTTCCTTGCTCTGGCATTACCAATGGCCCTGGTCAATGGCTCAGCTCCCACTGGACTTCTACAGAGGTCTGAAGATGAACAACACAGAGATTAGATTGCTGGATTCCCCACAAGAGCATCTGAAACTCCTTCTACTAACACCTTCCTCAGTTTCTGCTTTACAGTCTCTTTATTCTGCCCAAACTCCCAAGTTTCCAAGCAAGGATCCTAAATATCACCACCAGTCACATCTCCAGCCTGAGACTGGCTCACGAGCATCCAAACTGGGATCAGATGAGACACAGGGGCAAAGGAAGACCCAATGTCAGGTCCACTTCAGGTTTCTAGACCTCTCTTCAGCACAAGAAAGAAATATGAAAGCATATACCTAAGAGAGGCAGTTAGCCCGTAATATTTCTCCATGTAAAGGGGCATTTTAAACCATGCACAAATAATAAAAGCATTAGCATAATCAAATATGTTACATTTAGGTTATTCTTACTTAATTTTCTTTACAGTCTCCCCTATGAAGGTGGCCATGTTGAATTTTCCCACTATTATATCACCAGTCTCAGGCACACAGCCTAGCACAGAATGGGTCTGCAATGATGGTTAATGAGAAACTGAATAAATGAAAATGTCAGTGCATTATAGATCCCCAGTAACACAACCCTTATGTTTCCAGCCACATGCAAATATGCCATGCTTCTTCCTGGTGTGCCCTCCTCACATCAGAGATGGTCCTGCTTGCATGTATTATCACAACTTGCATAGAATTGAGTTCCAAGATAAGCTCATTTAAAAAAAAAGAATAAGACCATTAGAAAATAAAAGGAAAGGATACAAATGGTGGTGCCTGTCTGTAATCCCATCTACTGGGAGAAGTAGCTAGGAGGATCTTAGTCGGAGGCCAGCTGGGGCAAATTTCAGTTAGACCCTCTCAAAGAACAAGTTTAACAAAATGGTGCATGCCTATGACCCCAGCTACCCAGGAGGAGACAGGAGGAGTGGGGTCCAAGGTCAACCCCCAGAAAAAAGCATGAGACCCTATCTAAAAAACACTAAAGTGAAAAGGGCTGGGGACTTTACTGAAGTGGTAGAGCACCCGCCTAGTAGGCATGAGGCCCTGAGTTCAAAACCTAGTATCACCAAAAAAAAAGGAATAACTCAATTTCTCTCCACTGAATTTTTATCTGCAGTAACTCAATATCATTCATTCGGCACATTTACCACAAAGACTGCCACAACAAGCAAGTGCTCCAGAAAATCAATAACTAGAAAAGAGCAGTTACAGAACAGTGTAATTAACTAGTATTGTGGGAAATAATCATAAGTTCTTCATGCCTGTTGGTAATCAATTAAGGTTATGTATGTACTTGTAAACATTTTTATCAATATCTAATTGTTGGGTCCCAACCCTTGTTCACTCAAAGGAGATATTTTCAAGAGGTTTTGTGGATGAATTGGTTGTGAAGATGACTTGATGGAAGAGAGCAATTGAGTGCTATCAGATGGTAATTCACCCACTGAAGTACAGATGTCCAAAACAGTGTACCTTGATTTTTATTCAGATTGACTTCTGGAAACCTGACTCTGTCACACAAATCGGACCCCACAGTACCATCGACTTCCATGTGAAAGCAGAAGACACTGTTGCTGTGGAGGACTTCCTACAGCAGAATGAATTTCAATATGAGTAAGTTTATGTTCTCTAGCTGCTAACATTCTCTCCCTTTTATACAAGCCTTTGGATAACCCTAGCAAGGTAGCAGTGAAACCAAGACCATGTCTTCTCCATGGTAACACAAAGAGGTAATGGCCTCTTTGATCCTGGCTTTTGTATTTAGCTCTTGCTCTAGTGAAAATGGTTCTGACTCTTGAGCCCTAATTCTTCAGTCAAGTATCTTCCCCTGTTTCATGAGTGATAGATAGAGTGCAGGCCAAAGCAATAGACAGTGTTATCAGCAAGACACAGTTTCTCCCCAAATCGTATCAGGTTTTCCTTCCAGGTGACCAGTTAGACCTACTGTGAGATAGTGGGACTTTGTAGCTTAAGAACAAGTGTAGAGACAACCTGAGTGACCTTACTGTGCTTTCCCCCCAAGATCCTGCCATTATGTCTAGTGGTACGAGAAACCTAGAAAGAAGTCAAGAAAGGGAAGAGGTCCCAAAGGCCTTGTGGAGAGTTGGCTAAGCTGATCATTCTCATCTCCTCTCCTCAAATGCCCTGCTGGTCCACTGAGGTCTTTCAAGATGGGCGTGTCCTGCTAAGTAAAGGCAGTTGTCCATTTTTTGATCCAAGAAATACATATTGAGTGCCTACATGTATTCAATACTGAAAAGGAGAGACATGGTCACCCCTCTCTTAGGGGAAGACAGATTTAAATGGAGGTTTGCAGTAGTGTGAAACAGATATTGGGAAGGGCAGAGAGCTGGCGATTGAGGGGAGCAAAACAAGAATTAGGGGTCAAGGACGGCTGGCCTATGAAACCAGAACTGAAATATGAATAGTAGTTAGTTAGACAGAGACAAGGAAAAGCCATACACTAGGCAGAAAACAGACCACGTGCAAGCAGGCTCACTGGTGAGACAGAGCACGCTGACCTAGAGGTATTTCACAAGAGGGAAGGAAGAAATGATGTCTTTAGAAAAATGTTTAAATTCTAGTTCTGAATACTCAGTGTTTACCTAACAATCCCCCACCACATGGGCAAGTCTTCATTATGTTTTCAAAAAATAAAACCTATATCATTTTAGCATTAGAAATTTTCTGTTGTTCTTAACATGTTAAAAATATAGAGAAATAGTAACTGTGCCAGGAAGATGTCAGACTTGTCCTCTATGAAATCATTGCCACCATTACAAGAGGCATAGAAGCAAATGTTTTGGGAAAAAACAGACAGGATTCCAGTCCTGGCTCTGCAGCTTCCTAGCTGTGAGACACTGAGTGATTTGCTTAACCTTTCTGGGGTTCCATTTCCCTATCCATAAAGTGAAGATACAATGCCACTCTCAAAGGCCATCTCAAAAATGAAAAACAAATAATATGTAAATAATTTGCAATTAGTATTACCATGAATGAGAATGCTGCTATGGCTTGCTATGTGTGTGTGTGTAAAGAGGGAAATCATAGGATTCTTTCTCAAAGGTCAACAAAACTGCTATGTTTAACTCCATTACCATGCTTCATAGAGCTTAGCTATTCCATCCTGCCCAAGGGAAGTGTCAAAGCTTGACCTATGAACTGACTGTCTTTTTAAAACAAAAATATAACCCATAAGTTTCAAAACAGAATTAAGATTCATGTATATGACATTTCACTCTTCTTATGATCTATCAAGGACTTCTAAAATCCTGGCCTTTAGGAAACTCAGTAAAAAGACAGAATGTTTACCCAACAGTCACCTACCACATGCACAAGTTTTGAGAAAAGGCTTTGAGAAAGCATGACCTACATCATTTTAGGATTTCCGAAGTCCTTACTGGTTAATAAGAGCAAGATGTCTTCTCTAGAATTCTTTAAGAGAAACAAAGGAAAGCCGGCAGCCACAGACTAACGCTAGCTGCCTAATGGTGTCCCGAGTTTATTCCTACCTTGAAACAATGACAAGACTTCCATTCCATCTATATCTCCAGAGGCAGAAGCAGACAGAAAATTCACTCCTTCTTTTAGTGGCAAACTTTCAGGAGATTGTAGATGAGCACCGTCTCATAAGAGCACATGGGGTGGTGCTCCCCAGGGGTGAAGGTCTTGTTAAGTTTTGCTTCTCTGTTTCAGCCAAGCACATGTGTAGTATATAACTTTCTAAATATTAAGTAAGAATAAGCCCCCAGAAATCCTGGGGAAGTGCTCCAGCAATATCCTTGCCAAGGCTGCAGGCAGCCCCTGGTCATCCCATTATTGCTTCATACGTAACTCACGGTATTTAGACAGTTTCCTGCTGGTAAGAACATGCAGTTGTGTTGGTGTATAACAGGAGCCATCCACAACTCAGGTTCCAGAAAACAGTACTTTTGTGGTCCCAGTCATTTGGCAGCTTTAATCAGATCCCAAATTATCCTGGGGAAAAATTCAAAACGCGTGTAAAAAGAAAGATAATTGCATTTTGACTTGCCTAGGCTGTGCCTTTAGATCCAGGAAGACTGAACTGTGTACCTGCGGCTTATGTTTAGAAGCTAAGCTTCTGCAGAATTCCTTCATAAAAACTGCAAAAAAAAGGTTGTGTTTGTCCTGTCCAATCCAGGGAGAAACTGACTGCTACTAACCACCTATTGCATCATTTTTCTGCATATTTCAGAGTCACACAGGAAAGTGTCTTTGGACAGTATTGGGCACACAGGAGTGTTCTTTAACAGAAATGGACACAGAGTCAAGGAGCTGAACAAATATTCCATTTTCCAGAATCTGAAAGGGGAACAAAAACAGCACCATGTCTCTTTTCTTCTCAGACATTATGTTCTATGCTTTGCTGGAAGTCACGGCTATCTAATTTCCTTGCGTGTTTAAAAAAGAAAAAAAAAAGAAGTTAGATAGCACTATAAAAGGAGCATATAAAAGTATAAAATAATGTGCAAGCCTCTGTATTTTGGAGCTATAATGCTGTCCTGATTACACTAAGAGGCATTGTTTTAATCTCCTTACAACACTAGCTCATTATTTACTAATAGTATTCCATAACACAGCTAAAGTAGTGCTTTGTCCCGAATCTAGTAAGATCAAATAATCGCAAACCTGGAAGGGATCGTTTGAGGTCTCAGCCTCGTTTTGATGTCCTTTTCCAAGTTGCTGCAGGAGGCTTTTACCTGTGGGTGTCATCTTAAATTTAAGTAACTGATTTTTACATTTCTTTTCCCTTATTATTGGTGAGAATGTTTAATATTTAACATGGTAATAGCTCTAAAAGAATGTCTCTTCTTAGTAGCACACGACATCAGCTTTGCAAAGTCACATTCCTCTAAATAGCTTGAACTTGAGGGCTGGGGACGAGTGGAACGGTAGCTACAAGCCGTAGAAGCTTTGCTGTTCCTCCACACATAACTGGTTTCTGGCCGACCAGAGGTAGGCGTGGGTGTGTGGCCTTAGACACGATGTCTACAGGGCGCGTGGAAGCTGGGCAGTGCCTGGGAGACGACCTTGTGATCTCCTCTCTACCACCCAGTGAGAAGCCGTGTCACCTAGATGAAATTTCAATTGCTCGATGGCCAAGGAAGAGCGTCTCAAAGTTCTCACTTTGTAGCGCTGGGGTGTAGCTCAGCAGTATATTGCTGGTCTAGCGTGTGCAAGGCCCTGGGTTCGAGCCTCAGCACTGTAAGAAGGTGGGGAGGGGGTACATGTCACTTCTCATTTTCTCTTGGGTCTTTCTTCCTCTTTTTGTAGTTAGGCAGAACTTGTTCTTTCAAACTGATGATGTTAGAATATAGTTGTGCACGTAAAAGTTTCAGCTAGTGGATTTTTTTAAGTTTGGGGGGTTTTTGTTTTCCTTGTTTTATTTGTGTTTGCCTATTCATAGTTTTTAGCTATCCTTGAGAGTCATTTTCCTGAATATCTAATTTCTCAGAGTTTATGAAGGTAGTAACTGGAAATTTTCAAAATGCTTTTGAAGCTATCTATGTGAATGACCAGTGCCTATGGATTTGAGTCAACATTGCATTTCAGAATTAAAAAGGACATTAAATATCCTTCAATCACATAGTCCCATTCTAAAATTATGAAATTAAGGCCCAGAGAGTAAAGCCAGTTTTCTAAAGTCAATTTATGAGTTGAGACAAACAATGACCTTGACCTTTTGGTTCCTAATTCAGGTTCCTTCTACTTCCACCCTATTTCCTAACACTCCCGTTTGTGTGTTGGTTATAATTGCAACACTTATAATCATTATTCCTAACTATAGAAGGCAGAATGATTGTATCCCCAAAATGTCCGCATCCTACTCCCCAAAATGACTCAATATGTTAGATTGTATCACAAAGAGGACTCAATGTCATAGATTAAGGAAAGGTTCCTAACAACCTGGCTGCAAGTAAGAGGACTGTTCTGGACTGTCCAGCTAGGTCCAACGTACTGCGTGAGATAGTAAGAGTGGAAAAGGAAGGCAGGGTTACTGGGTGTGAGAAGGACTCGAACCACTGCTGCTGCCCGCAGAGATGAAGAAGGAATTAGGGGCCTTTGGGAGCTGAGAGATTCAAAGGATCAGATCGCCCCTAACACCTCCAGAAAGCAGAAATCTCTGTGAGGTTGGACTTCAACCTCCAGAACTACACAACAATGAATTTACATGTTCTAAGTCACTAGGTTTGTGGTAATTTAAATGGACATGAAACGTGCACTAACAAATATCAACGGAAATTTTCCTTTCTACAGAATAAATTTTGAGGTCTGCTGCTATTCGTTTTTTAAATACTACCTTATGGCAGTTACGTCATTAGGATGGAATTTTCCATTTGCTAGGAAGCAGACACCGTTATGCATTCATGTATTGTTTTCTCCATAGATGGACACGAGTTCATTCCCAAACTCACCAAGTGGTGAAGCATTTGGGGGGAGGGTCCAAGGCATCCTGGAGAGTCTTCCTCTGAATGTCTTGGGGATAGGCAGATTTAAAAACATGACTTCAATGTGTGACTGCAATTCTCTGTGTGTCAGTTAAAACCATCTCGAGGCTGTACTGTGGATAATAGAAATGTCTAGAAACTGGCTTCTGTCTGGAATAGTCACAGTGCTGCCAACCAGGACAACAGGGAACGAAAGTGCATACAATTCCAGGCTGGCCTCTCCAAAGGGACCTTTCACCTGAGCCCTGCATTACAGGAAGAGGCCGGCCTGGGGGATTCTCTCACCAACTTTCACATTGCCTTGCTTCAGAATGACTATTAGAGTACCTAAACCAGCTAAGCAGGAAGCAGAAACTAGTTTTGTAATTCCGGCATTCATTTGTGCTGGGGGTATGGCTCGAGTGGTAGAGCACCTTTTAGCAAGCATAAGGCCCTGACTTCAAACCCCAGTATGGGGGGGAAAAAATCACTATTCTTTTGCCTTATAAATCTTTAGCTTGTTAAGATTTCTGAGTTTCTGGTCACTGAGCTATTTTTCTCAAAACTTGAATATTATCCCTGGCTTGGCCAACTGTCCTCAGTCACCTGGGACTGAATAGGTTTTGAGGACATAGGATTTTCAGTGCTAACATTGGGAAATATAAGAAAGACCACAGATTGGCTTTAAGTATGTATTGTGGCATGGACGTTCAAAGCCCAGGCCGGGTTCCAGGGGAATCTGCTTCTGAGCTTAGGGTCTAAGGACACACAAACATAAGACATTTCAGCCAAGGAAGAGCCTGCCTTGCTCATACCTGCCGGTGTCTCTCTGTGGTCAACACCAGCATCTTCTTTAGCAGACGAGACTGAAGTCCTCAGGAACAAGCAGGGGACAAGTGAGTCCATGAGGACTCACTTCACCAACTACTATGGAGGTGGCTCTGGGCTTCCGGGATGTTCCCTGGGGGACATTCATAGACACAGTCACTTGCTCACTACAGGGAGCTGATCAGCAACCTGAGACGCGCGATGGACGCTCAGTTTGACAGCCAGGGTCGTGCAAGTGGACACAGCTATACGCAGTACAACAACTGGGAAACAGTAAGACGGGCACACGGTTTTGACAAATGGTGCTTCGGGAACTCAGCCAACACCCCCACACTGACCCGCCAATGGTTCCCTTTGGTAGATAGAGGCTTGGATTAAACAAATCACAGCTGAGAACCCAGACCTGATCTCTCACAGTACCATTGGAACCACATTTGAAGGACGCTCGCTGCACCTCCTCAAGGTAACCATTTTTAACCACGACCTTGCCATGGTTTTAAATCAACGAATCTTGATGCCTTAACATCTGCTTCCCAGATATGCCAATCCTGAATGTCATTATAACTCTTTTCCCGCCTCTGTCCCCCAGGGAGTCAGAATCCCCAGCTTCTTTTATCATATATGGATTCTTAAATCATTAGTTTGATTTATTCAAAAGGAAAAAACACAATGAAATAAGAGAAGTCCTATAAATCTAAGCACATTCCTATAAGCAGTGTAAATGGTCGTCTACCTGGGTGAAATTCTTGTCTCCCAGATGTTGTCCGCAGATCCGTGTGCTAAAGAGCTTCATAAACTTTAGGTCTATCAGACAACATTACAAAGTGTGTCGGCAATTTGTTTCTGTCATCTGATGCCGTCTTTGTCATGTAATTCTAATGAAGGAAATAAAAAGACGTGAAGTAAGTGGAGAGAGGAAGAAATTCTTAAGATTAGCAACAGTCATGATCACTTCTAATTACTCATCCAGTCTTCTTGGTCATGCCACCTCTTAATAACTGAAAATAACCTCCACGTGAAAACAATTAAACAGGTAATCAAGCGTCTTCTGAAGACACAAGCTTGTCAAGCTTAATAAAAAGAATAAACGGCCGTGCGAGCTCTCGGCTCAAGCATTGTGCGTGTCTAGAGGCAAGAACACACTGTGCCAGGGTTACGTTTTAATTTAATCAAGGGATATACTGCTGCTGCCGTCAGGTGTCACCTGTTGAGTCTGAAGCCCCAACAAAGAGTGAGTGCTAACCCCTGAATGCTGGGCGCTGGTCTCACATTCACCTTTTCTTTTGTTTGCCATAGGTTGGCAAAGCTAAGTCAAATAAGCCTGCCGTCTTCATAGACTGTGGTTTCCACGCAAGAGAGTGGATTTCTCCTGCATTCTGCCAGTGGTTTGTGAGAGAGGTCAGTAGGTAAAATGTCTTTTGGCAAAGGAAACTAGAAAATAATTCTTTACTTCAACGAATTCCTTATAACCTGGCTATAATACCACAGGAAAGAATCCATAATTCCACGTTCCTATTTGGGGAAATTAGTTTCAACTTTCACCAACTGATCTTTAGAAGATTTTTTTAAACTTTTAGAAAATTGTATTTGCTCAAATGTCACTCACCTGATCTTTCTTACCCATCTTTGGTGGACAGACAGGCAGCTAGTATACTGGACTGGTCATTTAAAAGTTAATGGTTGTGAATAAGCCACCGACTTGACCATTATCTCACTATAGTTTTTAAATATCCATGAGTCCATACTGAGGTAAATAGATACTTCAATTAAAAAAAAAAGGAAAAGAAGAAACAACTGTCTCTTGCAGAATTGCAACCAATATACGTACAGAGAATAAATACAGTAAAAAATCACCTTTAAATTAAGCACCACGTGGTGGGGGCAGGGGTTGAAATGACCCAGACAATGTATAAACATGTGAATAAATGAATAAAAAATAAAAATAAACTAAGTACCACTGTGATAATCACTTTAGGAAAACCCACAGAGGAATGCAAAAATATAGCATCTAAAAGCTTAAGGAGAAGGAAGATATTTGCAGAATCACAAAGCAGCCCCCTCCCAAAATTATTGACTACAAAGGGAAAACGTACAGGGGAAAAACTTAGCAGAAACTGCCCTAACCCAGCGATCAAGGGTAATATGACTAGTAATAGATAAAACATATTGATATCACGTTCCCCCAACATCATGCACAGAAAAATGCATCACCTTTGTGATATTTCCCCCCAAAATACATAACTTCTCTATCATCATAGAAAAGAATAGTTTAAAACAGTCAGACGAACTGAGGAACATTCTGCCTCAGAGTGCTGACTTTGTTCATCTTTAGAGGAAAAAGTCAAAAGAAAAGTAATGACTATGTGAGTGATATATGGATGGACTAGAAGTACCCTGGAAGCAGAGAAGAATTAGAAATGTCAATTTTAAATAAACAAAAAAAAATCAGTGGTAATTGGTTGATAGCTTTTTAAATATTTATATTGCCTGCCTCAATAGGGAGCCCAGCTTCCCTCACCAAAGCCAACATTTATTCAATCTATAAATTTTACCAGCATCTACTTTTCTGTGAAATTCTGCTGTGATTCACATCCAGGCCGTTAGCACCTATGGACAAGACAGTCAGATGACAGCCCTTCTTGATGGGTTAGACTTCTATGTCCTGCCTGTTTTCAATATTGATGGCTATGTCTACACCTGGACCACGGTATGTGATGTTGAGAAGGGCCGATGAAGTTGGAACCCACTGCTTTCTATAACATTTGCCCTGACTGTGTAACCACTTTCAGGACCGAATGTGGAGAAAGACCCGTTCCACTCGTTCTGGAACTTCCTGTGCCGGCGTGGACCCCAACAGAAATTTTAAAGCTGGTTGGTGTGGTAAGTGTCTGGACAACCATTTTTCTTGCACCCATTGGAAAAGGTAAGAGGAAAAATAGCATAAGGAGACATGATAGTGTCTAAAACAAGAAAAACTGTAAAACTGTTGCATTTGAGAATTCTAAATTTCTGGAAGCATGGGCAATAAAGAGTTTCTTACCTCACTTGACATAAAAGTTCACTGAGCACTCTGTTGCGTGTCCAGCTGTGTGAGATGAGGAAGAAGGAACAACTTTGTGAGATGTGGGATGTACAGTCCAGACAGTCTACTCCAATGAGTGCCTAGACATGGCCATTTAAATAGATAGTTATTTAAGTCATATTGTGGTGCCTTAAGAACGATCATAGTAATAAAGAACCTCCCCGCAGATATTAATTTTCTTACACTGCACTAATCTCATTATGTAATACTAACTAGAGACCCACTTGTGGTTTCACATGCAATTTTTTTTGTAGTATTGGGATTTAAACTCAGGGCTTGTGCGGATGCGCTCTAGCCCTGAGTCACACTGTCAGCCCTTTTTTGTGTTATTTTTTAATAGGGACTCACTTTATGTCCAGCAATCCTCCTATTTATGCTTCCCAAGTAGCTTGAATGACAGCATGTACCACCTTCTCCAGATTTTATTAGTTGAGACAGGGGTCTTACTAAATTTTTGCTCAAGCTGGCCTTGAACCACAATCCTCCTGATCCTTGCCTTCTGAGTAGCTAGGATTACAGGTGTGAGCCACCATACATAAAACATTATCACCTTAAAAACATAATCATTCTGACCTTATGACTAAATGTATACATAGTGTTCGATGTCTATGTAGTGAAGAATGGTTATAAGGGCTCCTGAGAGAACAACTTACACTTAACTCCCTAATTTGGAAGGTTTTGTTTTGTTTTGTTTTGTTTTGTTTTTTGCAGTACTGGGGTTTGAACTCGGAGCCTATGCTCCCGAGTAGCTAGGATGACAGGAGTGAGCCACTGGCACCTGATTCTAATTTGGAAGTCTGAAATATGAAAACATCCCTGGTGAGAACTTCAGTAGGTGGTCTTTGGTCATTAATAGCATTTATCTTTCCTAGAAATCGGAGCCTCCACTAGTCCCTGTTCTGATACTTACTGTGGACCCTCTGCAGAGTCTGAAAAGGAGACCAAGGCCCTGGTTAATTTCATCAAAAACAACCTCTCTTCCATCAAGATGTACCTGACAGTGCACTCCTACTCACAGATGATAATCTACCCTTATTCCTACGCCTACAAGCTGCCTGAGAACAACAAGGAGTTGGTAAGTAGACACGCTGGGAGAGAGGACCCTTCACTTTGCAGTTGTTTTCCATTCTAATCTTGGAAAAAAATGTAAGAATTTCTGTTTGTTCCTTTATTGGTTTTTTGATACTAGAGGCAAAAAATAATATTATAGAGTTATAATTATCTGGGATGGGTAAAATATTTTGATGCAGGGAATGGTCTTAAGACCTCACACGTGACTTACTCACTAACCTTCAAAACGACAGTAGTTCCATTTCCTCTGACTCCACCACAATACTGACTCAAAGGATTATTTCAGACATATTTGGGATAATCAACAGAGTTGATTGCACACATAATCTTTGTCAGGTCAGTTGTGTTAAGTGGCTGTGAGCTGCCTTTCATCCCAACAGAGCATGGCAAATATCACTAGTTGCCATATCACTTTTGCCCATAAGACCCTAAAATTGCTTAGTAAATCAATCAATGAACAAATGACATGAATGAGTCTTTCTACAGGGAATAGTGCAAAGAAATTTGAGCATCCTTGACTCAAAAAAACTAGCAGATTTGTTGGACGATCAAGCTATAGTCACACGAGCAGTGAGATATGATGAGTTTTATAGCAATTCACATGAACTGATACCACACATCAGTGCATAAACATTTTTAAGCATGTTGGAATCTTCCAAGCAATATTTTTTTTAATTTATGTAACATCTGGTTGCCAGAAGTTGAGGAAATGATATAAAAGAACAGGGAGAAGATTTAAATCATTCGAATTACACCAAAAAAATTATTCCTCTTAGACAATGACATAGACATTTGGCTACCTAAATGCATAAACTTGTCGGCCTAGTAACTATAAAAACTGGACATGGTTGTTTTCCCCTTCAGATTTAGTCTTTCAGAGACCAAATAAAATACGTAATGCCGTAAATATTTTGTGAGACAGAAAAATAGAAAAACAACCGATCTCCTAGAAAACTGACAACTAAGAGTTGACAGAGTTCTTTTTAATTTTTCCCCAAAAGCTTCCCATTCTCTTTACCTGCAGCCAGAAAATCAAAGAAAACATCATTAGTGAGAACCATGAAATAGTCTCCTTTCTAGTTGTGCCCCGTGTGTCCATGTTCCCCGTGGGAGTTCACACAGTCCTGCTTCCCCGAATGGGTGCAGTCAGCTCCTGGTTTCTGTCCTAGATTTCTGGACACCAGAAGGGAGGCTGTTGGAGCATGCAGTTTGCTTGACTCATGTGAACATATTTAAATTGCATCACATCACAAGAAGAAACAGTCATAATAACTAAACCCAATGAATTAATAATTAAATAGTAAAACTAAAATCAGAAAACATATGAAGCATATCAGAAACAAATACACTCAGTTTGCTCAAAGCTATAGTCTTAGACATAAGTAGTAAAAAACTAAAACTCACCAGGAACATTAAAATGTTTTTTGGAATTGAGCTGCTTCCACAAAGGTTCAATACCTTTTCTTATTTGGAAAATAAGTTAAAGCCCTTTTTAGTAAAGAGATTGCAACTCTGTAAGTCTCCAAATTATTGTTGAAAAGGAATCATGGAAGTTCTGTCTTCAGAATCTTGTCAATAACTTTTGCAACTTCCTATGGGAATTTCATCCAGGAAAATTCCCCCAACTGGGAGTTAGTGGGTTTGTTTAGTGGGCCTATTTCACATGCCCCAGGCAACAATGGCCCAACAGAATGGTAGCTGGTGCTCTTCCCCAAGAGTCCTAGCTTCATGTAAAAGTAGCTAATGCCCATCAGCTACTCTCTGTTGTTTACAGAACGAATGCAAAGTGCAGTATGACTTTCTGATAGTCCAGTTACTCAGTGTAGACTCCTCTACTGTAACACTATGCTATCTTCAAAGGAAGTTTTAAGGCTCAAGAAAAGAATGTATTTACATTTCCAAATCCTGATGGATAGTGAAATATTAAACTGTGTGGTTTCTTTATTGTCAGAAGAAATTAAAACTGGGAGACATAGTAGAAAATGCTCCCAAGCCTAGCCACACTGCTGCCCTAGTGGGCATGAGGAAGCTTCCAGTCTTGGGTTCATTCCCCACCCCACAAAGATGCCTACTCGACGTTATTTAATAATACTGATGATGATAATGATACTCCTCAAAGAGAAGAATAGATAGTCAGAGGAGAATCCAACCAACCAAGTATTTTATCATGCTACACAAATTGACCAACACAAAGGTAACAATTCCAAGACACTGTCTTGCACTACTTCTCTGAATTAGAAAAATAGACTATAATAGCTGGAAAAAAAACTTAGAAATTTCCTGGTTCTCATTTTCCAGTTGAGACAGTGTTGGTTAAGCCAACACCAGCAGCTGGGGCAGCCCTGGGTTTAGACATATTGGCTGCTAATAACTTTTTTGAGCTGCTACAATTTTGTGACTACATTCTATGCTGGTATCCTGGTTTTGCAGAACACTTATCAGAAAATCATGAATGGCACAAAATACATATAATTACCTCTGCCTCTACACTTTGCTAACGGTTGACTCTGTTAGCTGACACGACTAACTTCTCAGGGCCCAGTCTTTGTGACTCTGGCCCATTTGTTTTCATTAGCCCCCAAAAATGGCACTAACCAGAAGAAATAGGACAGTCTTTCTGAAAAAAGTTATTAAATATAACCAAAAGATAGGAATAGAGTTCTAAAGTCTAACACCTCCCAGTCCAGTGGCACACCACTCACTGCCTCTTATTTAAAGTTTAGTTACTGAGCCACCAAGACAGAAGGCCACTGTTCCACCCAACCATGTGAACAGAGTGCAAAACCATGTTAGAGGTAAACATATAAATCAGAGGGAAGAAACGCTGTGATTAGGAGGGGGGCAGTTGCAGGGCCATGTGCCCAGCCACCAAGCTGTGATCTTGTCCCTGCCTAATATCTAGAGTGCAAGGCCAGAGTCCCACGGTCAGCAGGCTGCCAGCAGCTAAAGTGACTAGGGAAATGAGGCACAAAACATCTGCTTCAGAAATATCAGAATCTTTAATTCCACATGAAGACAAAAATAAAATTTTCAATGAGACAGCAGAATGCCTTCAATAAAGAAACAGGTTGCTGCTGCTGCATTACACACTTCGAATGACTCCTTGGCCTGATAAAATTGTCCTCCTGGGCCTTGTCAGGCAATCATCAGAAGCTTCATTGAGCGCCTAGGAAGTGCTTGTCATAATCCATGGCTCCTGACAATGTGAATTTATAAAATTCAGATACCAGACACCATACCAGCGAAGCACAGTGTTGGAATTTTACTTATGCACAGTTGTAGGAATTCTTGACAGGAGGATGGTAAGGTATGCTGAAGCTATGCAATGAAGGTGATAGAGAGAAGGTGAGATTTGTTCTGTGCCTTGAAGTATGGACAGGACACGGGTAGCGGAAGAAGAAATGGGCCAGTTAAGCAAAGAGCCAACAACACATAGAGGTGTTGAAACGATGGAGGTGAGTAGAAAGGGGTCGGTCTGCTGGAGTGTTCTGGCTAGGGAAGATTAGAGATGAGGTTCAGTCAATTAAGTGACCATCTTGTGGAGGGACTTGAACGTCAGAGTGAATCCTGTGTCACAGTGGGCACTGGAGTTAGTGATGTGGTGAACAGGATGGCCACATTCATTGTAAGACTCCCACTCTAATTTGGATTTCAGAAAGACAACAGATAATTTTTACTGTAACTATGTCCCAACTATTTCATGGGACAGACTTGTACTGAAACAGTATTCACAGTTTATCTGAAATTTAAATTAACTAAGTATCATGCATTTTTGGCTAAATCTTATACCTCTACTGGTAAAGGGATGTTTTAGAAAGATTGACCTAGGAGAGATGTTTATCTATAAACACCTGTGATGTCATCACCTGTGATGTCATCAGCAGAGAAACACCTTTAAAACCAGTTGTCTTCCTTTTTAACGTTTTCCCCTAAGATAAACTCTCATTCACCATAATTATATCTTTTATCTCACTTTCCTTTCAATCAATTTTGCTTCCCATCCCAAGAGGACATCTGGTGATGTTTGGAGACATTTTTGATCAGCATAACTTGGGAGTTCTACTAGTGGGGAGTGGAAGGAAAGCCAGAGGATGCCAGTAAACAAATACCCCACAAAGTACAGCACCCCTCTCCCCACCCCGCACACACACACACACACACACACACACACACCCCGCAAACACAGAATAATCCAGCCAAAATGTCAAGAGGCCTGAGGTTGAGAAACTGCTTTAGACAAAGATAAGAACACAGTCACATTCCTGGCCAGAAGGACACGGTTCTCACTGGATCTTATGCTCTCCTCAAAAAGTAGAATCCAAAGTACAAATCTTGACTGCAGAGACAGGCACATCTCTGCTACACAGTGTTTATTTTCAAATTGTATTTGGGAGAAACACCACTTCTACCAAAAACAAACAGACGGCAGAGTCGGCTGACTCACACTTCACAGTTCCTTGGATTTTAAGGAGCTGAAAACTATGTTTGAGAGCAGCCAAAGGAAAGCTCTGGTTTTGGTTTCCGTCAGTGAAGGCATCTGGCATTCCCATATTCTTCTGGGCTCTGAGAAAGCCACAGGCCCTGCCCTCTTAGCCAGCCTGAACCTCTAATCTCAAGGCTCCTTTGGCTCCGAATCATATTTGTTTTTTCCAGCACCCCCCCAACCCCCGTGCTTTCTCCTCAGTGCCTCTTACAGATCCTAAGAGCACAACAATATAAAAGCTAAATTTCTCATTGGTCCCTTGCTGGAAGCTAGACATTACCACAGGGCGGAAGGAAGGAAGGAACAGCAGCTACAGGTCATTCTGAGGCTCCGTGATCACATTCACCCACAGGGATGGTTAAACCAGGGATGTCAAGTTAGAAACAGAGTTCTGAAGAGAAGGCCTTTGAGTTGAGTTGTACCTCTGTTTTCCTGCTGTAACAAAGGCCTCCTGAAGATTACAAGAAGCAGTTCCCCTGTCACAAGGCAGGCTGTGGGCATGGAGGGTGGAATGAGGACAATGTGCACTGTCATGGAACGGGGTCTCTTTTTCATATGCTACCTGGAAACCTAGGTCAGAAGAAAAGCACACCCCCTGCTTATTCTTCTCGCCAGGTCCCTGGAGCCCAGAGCCTGGGGAAGCATTGCACTGCTTCATCCTTTGTCTCTTGGACTTTGAGCTAGGTGTGACATTTTAGACTCTGTCTTTTGCTCTAGGACCAAGGCCTCTTTTTAAGAAAACAGATGACAGGAGAACATGCATAAGACAGGGTAGGAAATTCATATCTGCAGACGAATAAAGCCTGGCCATGTTTGGCCTTGATTGAAAGCAAAGCTTTCTGTGAGCCTGGTTTATATTTAGCTCCCTTCTGTGCTTTGCAATGGGTAATGCCAGCTCCAGGACACTTCTTTTGAAGTTTGAAGGCCACAAGAAGTGGAAAAGAGCACAGGGTTTAAAGAAAGAAGAACCTAGCTTAAGTACCCACACACATACACTTATGGGGCTCTGTGCCTTTTTATCCTCTCTGAGTTTGGGTTCTTTTATCTGTAAAATGGGAATAGAAATACCCAGAGCTCCTCAAGAACACTTTGTAAAGTATAAGGTTTTATGCAAATGTTAGTCCTTATTTTGAGCCCAGTGAGCAAAACGATTAAGACTTGTTCCTCAAGTGGCCAGTTCCCAGGACAGTGTCATTAACCAGAGTTTCAAGATGTGGACAGAGTTTTCTGCTGTGTTGATGCTTCTTGGGTCTTCGTCATCTTGGTTCCTTTCTACAAAGGAAACATACAGAGGAAGGAACTACCTCCCTAACATTTTAGCAAATGCCAGAAACACCTTTCTTGTGATGGTTCCTGGCAGAGGCCAGGCATCCAACTTGGATGGGACATTCCCACTGAGCACGGACTGCACACATGGCATTCCATTCTGCTAGAAAATTCTGTGGTGGTGAAATGTAGACAGATAATGTTGGGAAGATAAATGACTAACATTTGTGAAATTACTTGAACTCTTCAAAAGAAAAGACCCACACTGATTCCAGGGATTTTTGTTGAGATAACTGGAATTTCAAGTATGATACTTTAAGTGATGAATGTCTAGCATGACTTTTTTTAAATGTGTCTTGGCTTTTGAGGGGCTCAGAGAAAAATTTCTTTTGTAATTAACGGAAATAAAGTGCCCAGAATGTAGCAACCCTCCAACCATTCCTACATGGTACCACCGCCCTCCCAAGATTCCCAGTTTCTGTTCAGCAGGGTCAGAGTATAGCCTGTGCCATGCTTGGTACTTGGTACCCCAATTCAAATCTTCTCCATTTTTAAAGCCCTTTCACCCCGACATAGGGCTCAGTCAACCAACCTAGGCTAGGTGCCAAGCAATCTTCTAAGAATACAAAATGTACGTTCATCCTAGGTTCAGTGATGCACACCTATACTCCTAGCAGTACACAGGCTGAACCAGGACGATCCCAAGTTCAAGTCCAGCCTGAGCTACATGGCAAGACACTGTCTCAAAAGAAAAGAAAACAAAGCAAACAACAACAAAAGCAGAGCCAAAAATTGCTTCTTGCAAGGAGCTGAACTTCTGAGAAAACAGATGTGAAAACAAGTGATTGCAGAGTGATAGCAACTCTATCACCCCACAGAGGAGAGGGGCCCTGTGCTCTTCAAGAGAGTTGGGGGCAGATTAACAAAGAGGATGACCCTAAAAGTGAGTCTGAAAGAACAATACAAATTCTCCATGGAAGCAAAGGGGAAGCAAGGATTAGAGTGAAGGGAGAAGGAAATCCAAAGTCATGGAGGAAAGGGAAGGAAAAGGGTGTGTAAGGACTTGGTTGGAAAACCTATCTCAGAAAGAACATTCTGGAAAATGTACCTCAGAAGGAACTTGGGGGCCCACAAGTGACATGGCTTGAGAGAGAAGCCAAAAGAAGAGGTTGGACTTCAACAGAATTTGTGGATATCAAGGCAAGAACACAACTGAGGACAAGAAGAGCAGAGGCCAAGGCACAAACTAAACGTCCCTTCACTGTGCACCCATGACAAGAGTAACACCCACCTTAAATGCTGCATCAAAGACAGATCAACCGTTCCTGAAAGGTAAATGCCGGTGGAGGCCGAGAAAGCATGCGTCCACATCTAGAACCAATCCTGAAGAACTTCATTCCTACTAATTAAAAATAATAATTCAATAATTAAAGGGGGAAGAAAGAAAGAAATCTGGCAGAAGGCAGCTAGAGAAGGAATAGGAATTCATTGGAATCAGAGGTTCTGCCTTAGAAAAAAGCACACAATTAGAGTTTTCCTTTGGTGAGTACATAAAAGGAATTGTGGAGGAGTAGAAGGTGTACTGTTTATGTACCAAGAAAACTGTTACCTCACTGTACTTCACATCTCTAAGAGAGGGTTTTAAATCTCTTCCGAGCATTGTGCAATGTTTGTAGACAGTTCTAACCTCAATCAGTAATAGAACCTAAGGGTCCAGAGAAGATCCAAGAGTCGTGTCCTGGTTACAATAAGGTAAAACAACAGGTGCGCTATGTGTACATCATAGCAGTAAAGATCCTCTATGGTGAGAGAAAGCATGTCTTAATTTACCAGTTTGGAAATAGAGAAAAGAGAACCCTAAAATTTTCAAGTTACTGATCCAAAACTCCAAGAATAAGAAGATAATTCCAGGAAACTGGTTGCATCATTTCAGTGGAGCAGAACAGAAATTTATGGCATAAATTTTATAGCTCTTTTTTAAATTTTCTAATTTGCCACTTGGTAGAGAAAGCATCAACTTGGAAGCTGGAGTCCCTGGAATCTTAAGGGTATGCACTCAATGTGTTAGACTCCACGAATCTGGTTTTAATACTGGCATAAGGAGTAAGGAAAGCTCCTACTTTGTAAAAATGAGATTTTTCTGATTTCATCACCAGCTTTGCACTTTTCCAGGCATATGAACAAGAAGAAATTAAAATGTCAAAGTATGAAATATAGCAAGTTTCATAACCATAATGAATTGTGGCTATTTCTCCTGTAGTAATCCATCAGGTTTGCGTGTCTGTGTTCCCCTGACAGCCAAGTCAGGCCTTGCTTTGCAAGTGCTTGTTTAAACTGGTCATATGTCATGTAGTTGTGCAGGACTGAGCTCCTGGGACAGAGAGCCCTTGTCCTCTAGGAGTCATGTGCAGGAGCCTGGAAGGAAACAGTCCCACAAGAAAGCAATACTGCTTCTAAGAAAGAAAGAAAAATAAATAAATAAAACTATGTGTAGGTTAACACCCACTCCTACTTTTAATTCTGGAGTTAAAATGTTCTGCATTTTGAAATGGGATCAATGCTCTGTAATTATCCAGTTTAAAGATCTTCCAGGCTGCAACTGTCACCCGTCATTGGACATCGTCAATTCCTGAGCACTTCTTTGCTGGCTTGACGGTGGCACTGACTGTACCTCCACTCACAAGTGTACTTTCACATGTGTAGTTTCCTACGATCCCACCCTAACTCGAGTCATCCTGCTCCGATGCCGGTAGTGTTTGTTTTGCTTGGATATTTTTGTCTGTTTGACTTTTGAGCACCGAGGTAGAGACCTCCTTGCCTTCTGTTTTTCTCTTACAAGCTCCCAAGACAAGCTAGAGAGAAGCTCACGATGAGTGTTGGAGAGAACGTTAGGGAAGAGGGCCCTTTCACAAAAACTACTTGGATTGTATGACTAAGCTAGAAAAGCAGAAATGGGCTGGAAACGTATAAAATATACACCCAAATATGGCATCCGTGTCTTGAAAATGAGGCATGGGGCATGCAATTGTTTGGAAGTATTACCAGCTTTCAAAGCCAGAGGCTCAGCTCCTGGGGTTCCACATGTCAGGTCCGGCCTCTCCAAATAAACAGTAGAAACTCTCCAAATAAGCGAGTAGAAGTGAAAGACAGAAAAGGCATGGGTAGCCACCGGTAGAGGCAAAGTAAGCACTCAGTCCATCCTTGGGGTACAGACATTAGGTCTGAGTAGAGGAAGAACTGGGTCAGGGGACCAGAGGTACACATAACGAGTCCCAGTCCCAGTCCCAGGTAAGGTCCAGTGGTCGGGATGTGATCCAGTTGGTCACCATCTCACGATTGGTCAGGCAGGACCTGGTCACAGTAAAACAAGTCATAGTGGCTAGGACATAGCTTGGACTCTTGTCACAAGATGTTTATCCATCAGTCCTGTCCTGTCTAGATTCCCAGGTGGCTACAAGGTGACATCTCAGAGCAAAGACAGAGAAGCGTAAAATGGAGGCGGGGAGGCCAGGCTTTCTATGCTGCTTCCAGCTAACGTGTGTACCGAAATAAGGCGTCAGTGCACGTTAGCAAAAGCAGCTCATTCATACCTGCAACAGCACTGTGCCTTACTTCCTTCTTGCTGCTTCTCTTGCAGAATACCCTGGCCGAAACTGCTGCAAGCAAGCTCACCTCACTGTACGGCACCAAGTACACCTATGGCCCAGGAGCAACGACAATCTGTGAGTACTGGCTTCACACCACGCAAGGAAACACCTGCCTGCAAAGCAGCCAGTGGCTCCCACCACCTTTCTCTTCCAAACACGTCACACCTGTCTAGTGATTATGAGATATGTAATCCAAAAGAGAGAGAGAATATCCTTTTCAACCTTCAGAAACATCTGCTCTCTGTACATAATCTATTGAGCACATACTGGGTCCCTGATCCTCAGTAAGTGCTGAGAGAAAAAGGAAGGAAGGAGGGAGAGGAAAGAGAAAGTGGGGGAGAGAGACCAGAGCAGTCTGCAAAGAGCCTACAGGAGGGAGGCAAGAAGAGTATAGAGGCCGAAGTGCTGTGACATCACCAAGCAGGAGGATGGATCAGACCCATTCAGCCCCCAGCAGTGTGGGGATCACTTCCGGGTGAGGCCACACATGCTTATCTGAAGGATCATAGCTGGAGGAAGCACAGGAGAGAGGTTTCCCTGGCTAAACAAACTGTGGGTAGGAAAGCTCCTGGAGGAACAAGCCACCTTCTGCAGGCAAGAGGTAACCTTGCAACCAGTCCCTCCAGGCCTGTAAACAAGTGGCAAGAAAGTTAGGGAGGGGCTGGACCCCAGAGCAACAGATGCTCCCCAGGTTCTGAAAGGAATAGGAATATACACAAGAAAAAAGACCCGGTTCTGTCATCACTGGGTGTCCAGTGCAGCTGGGGAGTCCCCAATCCTGAGTTGTTGGGGGTTTCTCAAACTGTATATGGAATCCTGTTTTCTGTGCTCTCATTTTTTTAAACTGCTCTAAGTCAGAGGAGTACACTATCTTCTTAGGGGTGTCCTGGCAGAAATTACTCACTTGGTCATATATTGTGAATTCCCATGCATTCATTCAGGCTACTTCTTTGGTCTCTTTCTCCATTACATTGTAAACTCTTAAGACATAAAAGGCAATGTCTTTCATTTGTCCTGGCCTCTCCAGAATTGAGCACATGGCTAGCTGACCAGGGGGACTATACAGTTGTTGACTGAATAAATAGATAAATGAAGAAATGAATGTATACATATTCTGTGTGTTAGTGGGAACAAAATTGTTATTGAATGAATTAACTTAATGAATGCCAAATTTGTGCCAGACCCTATGTTATACACCGAAGATTAATAACTAAGACCTAGTGGCAGGGCTGTAGCTCAGTGGTAGAGTGCCTGTGTGGTAACATGCACAAGGGCCTGGCTTCACTCCCCAGCATCACAAAAATGAAAAATGAAGGCCCATCATTTCATTATTCATCATACTCAGTTTCATAATTCAACATTGTTTGGAGTCCTCCTCTTGTTCATCTTCCTGGGAGACACAGCTTTTCTATGTATCTTGTAAATAAACAGTTTACATAGCATATGAGTGTAGTTTGCCTTCGTATATAAGCACACAGGAATTTCATGTTACTAAAAACAGCCTTTCTGGGACATTAAACACATCCTTCCCTCAAAATAGATCGAGGGGTACAACTGGACTAATTTTTTAAATAGCCCCCAAATCATTTATCCAGTTGGCTAAAAAAGTTAGACTATTAATATTATTTTGCACGGTGAACCACTTGTAATTATACAAGGAAGTTGGTAATTTTTTTAACCACTCACCTAGACTTAAAGTGGTCGTTTTTTCCCCTCCTGCTTTTTTCTCATTTTAGATCCTGCTGCTGGTGGCTCTGACGACTGGGCTTATGATACAGGAATCAAATATTCCTTTACCTTTGAACTCCGGGATACAGGCAGATATGGCTTTACCCTCCCCGCATCCCAGATCCGCCCAACCTGCGAGGAGACACTGCTTGCAGTCAAGTACATCGCCAGCTATGTCCTGGAAAACTTGTATTAGCTGAGAAGACAGCCGTCCTCACAACGCTGCTGAGTTCTTCTTTTTGTTAGGTGGCGGCTTTATAATCCTCCTCTTTCTTTTAAGCCTCTGGGTCTACTAAACTACTTGTATCTATCTTTTCAAATTGATCATAATAAAAATGCATCATTATAATTAGAAAACAACAGATTGTCTACTTTGGGGGGAGAGGACTGTGAACAAATGAGCACCAAGGGATGATGTGGTCAGCCATGGAGGAGTAAAGGTCCTTGGGGTCAGAGTGCACTGGTTACCATGGGAGCTTCTGAGTAAGAAGAAATCTGAAGGGAAATGAACGACTGTGAAACCTGGTACAGATGAAATAGGAAATTTTGGTTTAGCTCTTATTTCGGCTCATTCAGTTTATATAGTAAGTTGTCTACAGCATGGCAACAACTTTGCCAAGACATTGATGACAGATCAATGGAAATGAAAGATGACATTTCTATTCTCATCGGGTGTATGAGCCATTTGAGAAGATAGGTGTTAAACAAATTAACTAATTATTTGATAACTAGTTGTTCAATTTATACTAGCCAAATAAGTGCCTGGTAAGACTGCACAAAAAGAACATGTAGGAGACTATTGTATTGCTGGTATAATCCTAGCCTTGGAAGGCTGAGACAGGGAGGATGAGGTTCAAGGTCAGTCCAGGCAAAAAGTTCTCAAGTCCCCATCTCAACAAGCAAGTGGGCATGGTGGCACTTGTCTGTCATCCCAGCTCTGCAGGAGGCTGAGATCAAGAGGGTTGCAGTTGCAGGTCAGTCCAAGCAAAAAAGTTTATGAGACCCTCTCTCAATGGAAATCTGAGTGCACTGGCATACACCTGTTATTCCAGCTATAACAGGAAACATAAAATGGGAGGATCACTGTCCAGAATAGTCTGGGCAGTCTATATCCAAATTAACCAAAACAAAAAGGCCTCAGGTATGACTCAAGCAGTGAGTGCCTGCCTAGCAAGCATGCGACTTGCAGTTAGAACTACCCCAGTACCAGCAGAAAAAAAAAATGCTACTTCCTGATGAAGGGAGAAGTCTCTTTTGGGAAGCAGGTAACCTGAGAGATAAGTCACAGTGGGCCGGACAAAGTGAGGGGTCCTTCCAGGCCTGTGACCATTCAGAAGACAGGGAAGAATGCCAGTGAAGGTGGAACTTGGAGGACTGAGGCGAGAGAAGCAGGTGGGGGTCTGGGGAGGGGTGGGAACCACAGCAGGCACAGCTCAGGGGTCGCACTTGAGACCTGGCACATTGGCCTATAACAATGCAAAAACCTTTGAAGATGCTAAGTGGTAAATGACATGGTGTCACCAGAGTGTAGAAACTAGATTGAAAATGAGATGCGAGAGCCTGGCTGGACCAGCTGACCCAAGAAAAAGGAAGAAATCACCCATGACCTATACATCACATGTGACCTGGTATGAAATCATCACTCCATGATCTCCCATGCTCATGGATTGGTAGAATCAACATAGTAAAAATGTCTATACTCCCCAAAGTAATCTACATGTTTAATGCAATTCCCATCAAAATTCCAATGACATTCATTAAAGAGATTGAAAAATCTACCGTGAAATTTATATGGAAACACAAGAGGCCACGAATAGCCAAGGCAATACTCAGTCAAAAGAACAATGCTGGAGGTATCACAATACCTGACTTCAAACTCTATTACAAAGCAGTAGCAATAAAAACAGCATGGTACTGGCACAAAAACAGACATGAAGACCAGTGGAACAGAATAGAGGACCCAGATATGAAGCCACACAACTATAACCAACTTGCCTTTGACAAAGGCGCTAAAAATATATGATGGAGAAATAGCAGCCTCTTCAACAAAAACTGCTGGGAAAACTGGTTAGCAGTCTGCAAAAAACTGAAACTAGATCCACGTATATCACCCTATACCAAGATTAACTCAAAATGGATATAGGATCTTAATATCAGACCACAAACTCTAAAGTTGGTACAGGAAAGAGTAGGAAATACTTTGGAATTAATAGGTATAGGCAAGAACTTTCTCAAGGGAACCCCAGCAGCTCAGCAACTAAGAGATAGCATAGATAAATGGGACCTCATAAAACTAAAAAGCTTTTGCTCAACAAAAGAAATGTTCTCTAAACTGAAGAGAACACCCACAGAGTGGGAGAAAATATTTGCCAGCTATACATCAGACAAAGGACTGATAACCAGAATATGTAGGGAACTTAAAAAACTAAATTCTCCCAAAATTAATGAACCAATAAAGAAATGGGCAAGTGAACTAAACAGAACTTTCTCAAAAGAAGAAATTCAAATGGCCAAAAAACACATGAAAAAATGCTCACCATCTCTAGCAATAAAGGAAATGCAAATTAAAACCACACTAAGATTCCACCTCACCCCTGTTAGAATAGCTATCATCAGCAACACCACCAACAACAGGTGTTGGCGAGGATGCGGGGAAAAAGGAACCCTCTTACACTGCTGGTGGGAATATAAACTGGTACAACCACTCTGGAAAAAAATTTGGAGGCTACTTAAAAAGCTAAACATTGATCTACCATTTGATCCAGCAATACCACTCTTGGGGATATACCCAAAAGACTGTGACACAGGTTACTCCAGAGGCACCTGCACACCCATGTTTATTGCGGCACTATTCACAATAGCCAAGTTATGGAAACAGCCAAGATGCCCCACCACTGACGAATGGATTAAGAAAATGTGGTATCTATACACAATGGAATTTTATGCAGCCATGAAGAAGAACGAATGCTATCATTCACTGGTAAATGGATGGAATTGGAGAACATCATTCTGAGTGAGGTTAGCCTGGCCCAAAAGACCAAAAATCGTATGTTCTCCCTCATATGTGGACATTAGATCAAGGGCAAACACAACAAGGGGATTGGACTTTGATCACATGATAAAAGCGAGAGCACACAAGGGAGGGGTGAGGATAGGTAAGACACCTAAAAAACTAGCTAGCATTTGTTGCCCTCAACGCAGGGAAACTAAAGCAGATACTTTAAAGCAACTGAGGCCAATAGGAGAAGGGGACCAGGAACTAGAGAAAAGGTGAGATCAAAAAGAATTAACCTAGAAGGTAACACCCACGCACAGGAAATCAATGTGAGTCAATGCCCTGTATAGCTATCCTTATCTCAACCAGCAAAAACCCTTGTTCCTTCCTATTATTGCTTATACTCTCTCTACAACAGAATTAGAAATAAGGGCAAAATAGTTTCTGCTGGGTATTGAGGGGTAAGGGGGGGTAAGGGAAGGAGCGGGGGGGAGGGGTAAGGGAGGGAGAGGAGGGAAGGAGGGAGAAATGACCCAAATATTGTATGTACATATGAATAAAATAAAAATTAAAAAAAGAAATCATCACTCCATGATTCATACGTCACACAGAACATGACATTTTCCACAATTGAAACTGAATCTGCTAATGTTGGAAAATGTGCCAAGTTCACTTTTTAAAGTAGACTAACGTGTTTATGTCACAATGTGGAGATGTCTCTTACTTTAACATCATAGGACAAAATTCTAGCCTATTATTTCCTATGTGGACTCAGGGAAATTTGGATTCTGCATTGTGTATAATATGTTCAAATATCTATAACAATGCTCTAATCAAAAAGGAATAATTTTAACTCACAATTTGGAAGTTGTCAAGCCAAAAATGATGAATTGCATGAACTGTCCACTAGATGGTAGCAGTGTAGCTTCTACAATTTGTCCAATCACCTTCAAAATAATTTAGTAATACAACATTCAAATAGACATAGAGACCCTTAAGTGCAAAAATTGAAGACCAGCAGAATTGATGAAAAATTTAAAAGGTGTAATTTAGCTAAATTATGTTTCTCCCTACTCTATTTCAGTTGTGTCCATGCTGCAAATTGGAGAGTTAACTCAACCGTACATAGCTGAGTGATGTTATCTTCCTGGAAGAGTGTCATTCAATTCCTTCCCCAAGGACACCCTCTTCCGCTGCCTCCAGCCAGTAACATCATTCTCTATGGAATATAGTATCCCAAAATATGGAAATCATGTAGATGAACCACAAAGAACCCTCCAAAGTCCTAAATTAAGTGCTTCAAAAAACAGAAGCTAGGAACATATGTGAAATCTTCTTAAATTCTGAGACATTCTTAGGGAGAAGAATAAGGAATAGAAAAGCAAACAAGCAAATATTCTTATAGAGCATCCCATGTATTTGAGATTTCCTATACCCAACTTCCTTGCTGTAACCCCTGTGTATTGAAAGTTAACAGCCAGCAGGCTAGGAGTTTCACTTGCTCAAGCTACATCAAAAACAGAAAGAGTGCAGGTCTGCCTCAGTCCTTTCAGATGCAATAGAGCCTGGTGACCACCTGCCCAGCAAAGCTCCTGAGTCACCACTACCAAGAGCCCATGCTATGAGGTCATCTCTCCTGCTCCCTCTTAACCCACACCACTCAGAAAGCCTGGGAGTCTAGGAGACCTCCCTTCAGCTCCAAGCTCTCATCAACTCACAGCAACAGCTAAACCAACAACATGGGAGTGGTCCCATAAATCCTTCTTTCTTAAATGGCTTAGTTAGAAAATGGCAAGACTTGTTTTCCAGATTCACTTACAAAACTTCTGCATATCTGGAATCGAATGCCTTGCATTCATCTAGTTTTGTAAGCTCTATGTAAAAGGTGAAGGAGAATTTCTAGAAGGAGAAGAACCATGTAATTAACCAGATAATCTGGGGGGCGAATGAGGCTAGATGGGCTCTTAGGCCATCTCATCAGAGCAGGGTGTCAACCCCCCCCATGCCTGGCTGAGTCACACACCTACATATTTGCCCAGAAATGCCACCTTTGCTTGGAACTAGTGACACATTTCCCTGCAGAATTTACAGGGTACTTTCTTCCAATGTTAAGAATTCAACATCTTGGATCAATCCCCAGCACTTAAAAAATAAAAAGAAAGAAAGAAAAGAAAAAGCAACAAATTTTTCTCTCAACATACTCTTTATGACATATCTAAAGGTACTCCAGCAGTTTACTGGGTTGGATTTGAAGAAGGAGAATTATTTGAAAGATTCTATTAAATTACAAGAAAACTTTCACTGCTGTTTTCTGTGGCACTTCTTTTGTAGTGACAATGTTTGAAAAGCGTAGTTAAAAATAAAGAGATTTTAAACTGTAGCTCGAGAACGGTACTACAAAAATCCTAGGAGGCAAAACTCCAGAGCGATGGAAAATTATTGCTGTGTGAAGATTCCATTTTAAATCTGAAGGGATTCACTTAGCCTGCGAAACAGCACAGTCTTACACAGTCCATCCTAAATCGATATGGTGTCCAACAACATCCTACCCCACACATATGCCAAGACCCTGTATAAATCTTGATGCAGTAATGGAATGCTGCCCTAAGCTTTTTCCCATTCTGAGAAAAAGCTCCAGAACATTCTTGAAAGTTCTTGAACATTCTTTTGTGCTTTCCCTCTGAGGCTAAGTGGATTCAAGAGGGAGAGGAGTTCTAAAATGCACCCCATTTGAGTGCATCAAGTTGCTTTAGAACTAGAGGTGACTCCCAAGAACAAGGAGAAGAGAAAGGGATGGGAGTGGAGACGCAGGTTCTTTAGCTCTTTCTTTAATGTTTGCTTCTTCATCAAAGAAGGTATAGGGGAAATATTGCCATAATAAAATCTAGATGGTGATCATGTTGGTGTTTTCCATTGTACTTTTATATTTGATAAGATAAATGTTTTAATGTAATGATTACAATCTAGCTTCAAAAACCTAGTTTGCATGATGAAGGACCAGGCATCAAGCTTCTGTGGCCAGGTACCTAAATTAACCTGATTGCCAAGGGTCAATTCCCCAAGGATGGGTTTCTTCCATTGTTCACTACAAGCCTGGTGGTAGGGCGGTGATTTAGAACAAACAGAACTGGGTTGCATTCCCAGCTCTGCAAACATACAAGCCCTGAGTCATTTGCTAAAGTAATGCGTTCAATCCTTTTTCTGTAAAATGGCTATTTCCTATGTAAGAGGCAGGCAGGCAGCCGGGACATTCAGTGTTAGTGCTCCCCCTTCCTCCCCAACTGAAAAAACGCAGGGGAACGAGGACCGTTTGGACCGTTTGTCCCATGAATCCAGAGGAAGTCAGGTGCTCCTCCAGATAAGGGCCAAGGCGTAAAACCAGCAGAGGACCTCTGTCGTTCACAGCAGAGCCATGAGGTCCATCCTGCCCCTGGGGTTGATCGCCACCGCCCTGGCCGTTGCTCCTCTCCGCTTTGACAGGTAAATCTCACCACCCTGTGTCCCTGTGCGCCAGTCTCTGGAAGGGAAGTAGATTGAGGAAGATTTATTTTTACAGTTTTTGTCTTTTGCTTTCTTAAAGGGAGAAGGTACTCCGTGTGATTCCCCAGGATGAAAAACAAACCAATGTCATCAAGCATTTGGCCCAAACCAATGAGGTAAAGCATTTAGAAAGCTGCTTTATCTTCTCTTCTCCAAAAGTTGCTCCTTCTTTATTCTTAACATGCACAGGGTCACCAAAATCAGCCCTGGCCAATTCTTCACTTGCTTTTGGTTTTCTTTTCACAGAATACCTCTTGGCTTGGCAAATAGCTTCTAGGGAAACTATAGAATAAGAGTTCACTGGTGGAAACTTTCTTCTTTCTTTCTTTGTTCTTTGGGACCCCACCTGGCCTTCTCTCCATTCTCCCACTCCCTCCTGGTCTCCTCTGTTAAGAGTATGAACTGACAATGTCACGGCACTGACAGATCTCAACATGTGAGATCTAAAGAGCAGGTGAGCTCTAAACGGAGATTCTTAAAATTATCTCAGTCCTTTAAACTCCGACAGGCCCAGATAGCCACTTTATCACTCACTATCGACCACCTTACATCATTCCAAATTCTCCAACAGATCTGCAATGTCGTGGTCATAACTTCACTCATTTAAATCTTAAAAGTAAGGTTCAAAGATGGCAAATGAAACGACGAAGATAACAGCTCAGATTTAAACCCAGAACCAAACCTGAGATTCCTTCCTGGCACACGCTCTCATCCCCACCTCTAATCAGTCACAAGATCTGCCTGTTCCGATTCCCAAATGTCACATCCATGCCATCCTCTCCCTCTGCCTCTGTCAGTGACCATCCAGCCTCTTACCAGGATAATTTCAATAGTCAGGGTTCTAGTCCTGGCTCCACAAAACCAAGTCCACATGGCGATCACGGTCCTCTCTCTAAAACTTGACAACTGCATTTCCTCGTTTGAATCTGTTTATTGAGCGGCAACTTAGTAATGGGAAAGTACATTGTTCAGAACCAAATGCTTAGGTTCAAATCCCAACTCTGTACTGCTCTGTGACCTCAGATAAGTTATTAATATCACAGGGTGTCAATTTTTGCTTCTGTAAAATGTAGTTAGTAATCACCACTTTCTGAGGGCATTACAAACAGCAAGAAAGCTTGGATGTCATTTGGAAGGTGACCTGGCCACGATAATCGCCCCAGAAGCATTTTCTGTGTTTTCTATTGATGTCCATGTAGCAGGCAGTCTCGCTCCACAGACATCAAGACTCCACCCACCTTGTACACTTTTCTTTTTCTCCTGATGAATGTGTAAGATGGCTAAGTCTTATTTGTTTCTCAAGACACAGCTGGGCCAGCATCTCCTGCAGAAATTCTTCTTTGCCCACCAACTCCCACCGCGTGGTTTGGTTCTCCTTCCTCCTGAGACACCTGCTCTTCCCCAGCATCGGCTCTCATATTAGAACATGCAGTATGGCTCTGTCTCCCACACAGAGCCTCTTGCTTCTCACAAGTTCCTTGTCAGACTCTTTAGCTGTGATAGCTAACTCCTTATTTATATCTGGGTGTTTGATAAATGCTCATAAAAGTTCACTGAGCTCTGAATGCCTACTCTTGATTACTTTGCTAAGCAGAGAAGTTGCTATTATGATAATGATGACCTGCCTACATTGCCTTAAAATCACACTGTCTCTCTTATATGTCCAACTCATGTTGTAACTTGATCAAAATAGACATTCATTGGCTCACAGCAGCTTCACACCGTCCCATAACAGACTGACCTAGGACCCCAATGGGATTGAATTAAGGGATATCCAGGGGAACTTGGACATGCTCACACTTTCGGCATGATGGGTGGAAATTGTTTGCTTCACAACTCCCATGCTGGAAACTTGTACTCCATACGGTTTCACAATTGTCTCTGATTTTGAAGAAACACAAGAATTGGAGTGGTCTCAGTGTTGTTTTAATCTGAATGCTATGTTCTGGGCTGTCATCAAATTTATGAAATCAGCACTTATTAAATTCTTGCCTGTCCCATTTCACAATCTTCACAACACTCCCCAGGGAGTCCTGTTAGCCCATTTTTCAGGATAGAGGATTGAAACTTAGAATTCTGTATCTTCCCTGAAGACATATTGCTAAAATTGAAAGGGGGAGGGGGGAGTGGGAAACAGAGGGTAGAAGAAAGGAGAGGGAGAGAGGGAGGAGGAGAAAAGGGTGAGAGAGAGGTCTGGCTTTGAGAGCTGATTGGGGAAGGGAAGCTAGACACTTTATATAAATGCCCAATTAGAGTCAGACATTAGCTAAATCGTTTGTGAAATAGTCCTATTCAACCCCAGAAAGACTAGGAGCATAGACAGCAGCCAGCTGAACTGCCCACCTTCTTTTGCACTGATACAATGTCCTAAAACATTAATATAAATAGCTTCTTTCTCACTCCCTAATAGTCAACAGTTCTTTAAATATATTTGCAAACATCTCTTAGGTTATTTAAAGAAGGGCCTCTACTGAACCCCGAATTTCTTTCATGGTGTAAAACACATGTTCAATTCTTACACATATGCATTGGATGAGCAAGTAGGTGACCAGGACTAACAGTGCACTTGTGTCTGCAGCTTGACTTCTGGTACCCAGACGCCCCCCACCACGTAACCGCTAACATGACAGTGGACTTCCGAGTGAGTGAGAAGGGATTCCAGTCCGTCCAGTCTGCCTTGGATCAAAGTAACATGCACTATGAGTAAGTCCTTGGCAAATACTTGAATGTGTTGCATACTCAGTTTCTGAAACCTTGAAATACCAAAGAAACAAGTGCAGTGCAACTGCTTTTAAATTAGTCTCCAAAAGAACAGTGCTCTAACTTTAAGATCAAGTTCACAGTTACTTCCAAAAAAAACTATAGAAACATGTTTGTGAGGTCATAAGATCTTACATTTGCTCTCATCTGCAAGAATGACAATTACCTACATCCGCCATCTCCAAAGCCAGCCCCTCATAAACTGAGTCCACACAGCAGGCAGGGACACAGCACCCCGTTGGCGATGGGCTCATGAGTTACTAGTGCAGAATAGCACCATGTTTGTGTGTTTGAATTCTCCTGCTACATAAAAAGAAACAAAACCAGTACTTATCTGTAAGTCAGAGATAAGATAATGTAAAATATATAAAAAATAGTTCTTTATGAGAGAAATTTTACCTCAGAGAAAACAAATAGCAAGCCTTAAATCAAAAAAGAGACTCTCAAATATACAAAGATGTAAGAATGAGGCATTCTGGCCCCACAGAGAAATGAAAGGAAATTGGGATCTATTGAGTGGTGACCATGGGCCACGCACGGCCTGGGACCTGAGGAACCTAGCAATGAGCACCACAAACCAATGCGTAATTTAGAAAACAAAATGTGTTTTGTTTGGGGATTTTTTTGGCAGTACAGTACTGAGGTTCGAACTTAGGGCCTCATGCTTGTTAGGCAGGTGCTCTGCCACCTGAGCCGCTCCACAGAACAGTTTTATACTTTCAAACATGTAGCAGTTTGGTGTGCTGGGGGCCTGTTTTAACCATCCCAGACCTTGTCATCCTTGTCACCCCAGGACTCCCCTTTATCAAGACTCAAAACACTGCTCAGCTTTCTCTTTGAACTTGATGGTTCCTGTCTTCACCATGAATTTGGTGCTTTTCTTCTTCTTCTGGTTGAGGTAAAAGTCATTGATGTCGGTGACGTGGTGTTGTAGGATGGGTTGATGACTGCTCGTTGTGACTTGATTGCATTTGTGATATTGCTACAATATCACAGATAAACGCAAGTGTTACTGAAAGCAAGGAAAGACATGCATAAGACTAGGGTGAGACGTTCTTGTCTGTGGTGTGAAAAGGCACAGGGTGCCATTTGTCATGCTTTTGACCGTGTTCAACTTTTGCTGTATTGTTTCAAGAGGACCATGATACAATGAGAAAGCTAATAAATTAAGAAAACATAACTCAAAACTAATGTACACCAAATTTAACCACGTTTATTCATATATTGATGGGTGCTTTTTCTGCTTTTGCAAATTACACCATTAAAATTAGGAATAGACACTTCATAAACATACTTCCAAGCCTGCAGAACTGCACAGTACAATCTAGACTCTCTGCTTACACTAAATTCAGATGACATCTTGATCCTTTCACTCAAAAGAAATTCCACCTCCTCCCTAAATGACCTGGGTTACTGTGACTCTTGATTCGTTTCATAGCCAGGCTCCTGGCTGGCTATAAAGTAATCAAGCTAAAACAAAGCAGTGCTGTAGCCAAATTTTACATTGTTTGCCCTGAAACAGCAGAATAAAAAAGAGACATGCTGTGTTTTCCTCAGTTCTCCTGTAATGAGGGCAAGAGGCCATGAACCGGAGTGGTGAAGGGAGTCACTGTGAGACACCAAGGCAGGTGGATGACATCCTTCTATTTTATCCAATAAAAATCCAGGCCATGCTCCTGCTGAGTTTTCTAGGCCTCTCCCTTCCCGAAACGACTCTGCCTCAACCAGGGGTCCAAACTGGATCCTCACAGAGTATTTTTCACTTTGTCTTAGGCCAAGACAGCTCCTTGCTACCTACATCAAGAAGCAAAGTGTTAAACCTCCTGCAAAAATTAGTTTTATCTAATTAAGGCATGGTTTCTAGAAACTGGCCCAAATTAGCCACAGTTGTGGGGAAGCTGCATAATTAGATAGTTACCTTCCTCAAAAATGTAAATATGTAAAGTGATCTTGGCAGACAAGAACTATTTAAAATCTTGTCTCCAAGTACTAATTATACAGATCATTTTATTTGCATATCAGTTGTACGTGGTACTCGGTGCCAGTCAGCAGGAGAAGAGGGTTCCAACAACAGGAACGTCTGGTCAGACCCAGGCACCAGGCTCGATAAGAGCATTGTGCAAGCTGGTTTGACGTGACTTACTAGACACCCTTCATTAGACAGGACATATCAGCCACGACTGCTTTAAAGCAACTGCAGGTGATGTTTTTTTGACTTCCAGAACTGAGCCAGATTTGACTTCAAAGTAGCCTGCTTGCTTCTTTTTTATTTCCACTTTCACGAAATCACAAAAGGCCACATCCAAAAATCAAATGATCTGTGCATACTAACAAACCCCAAGAGACTGGAGAGCAAGTGTAGAAAGGAGAACACAGCTATTGGAGGAGCCCTGGGGGCAGACACCATATTAAATTCAGCAGTTAAAAACCCTACTGTCACTCAGCGCTGGTGGCTCCTGCCTGCAATCCTAGCTACTTGGGATGCTGAGATCGGGAGGACCATGGTCCAAGCCCAGCCCAGGGCAAATAGTTCATACGAGACCCCATCTCCAAATAACCAGAGGAAAATGGATTGGAGGTGTGGCTCACAAGGTAGGGCACCTGCTTTGCAAGTGCAAAGCCAGGAGTTCAAACCCCAGGCCCACCAAAAATAGATAAATAAACCCTGGTGTCTTTACTATATCTTAACATTGTCCCTTTTTGGATCAAAAGTTAAAATTAAAAATTAGAGATATTAGTGAAAGGTAATTCAGAAAACAAGTACTAACATAATAACAAAATGTTGCAATTAAGTAAAATCTTATTAAAATTCCCCGAAGATAATGTGCTAAATTCGGAAGAGATACAACACTTCAAACTAATGTCTGATTACCTAATCATTCAGCCAGACACGAGCTCATATTCCAAGTAAACACGGCCCTTCCCAGTAGAGGGTCTCAATCGGGTAAGGCGTTCTAGTGGTTTATCCAGTGTGCCGAGCCGGATTCGTCCCTCGGCTCCACACTTGCACACATCGCTTGTCCAAGAGTGCAGCGGGTAGTGAGTCCTACTGCAGATGTTGACAGCTGTTGCTCATGTGGAGACAGGAGAGCACGGTGGGGAACCGGGTCGTGAACCCAGGCTGCCTGCACCCGGCTCCTGTGCACTCGAATCCCAGGTACTCAACGTCTCCCCACTCGTCCCACCGGTACCATGGGGACAAAGACAACACCCTTTCCCAGGATCTCATGAAGACCAAGTGGGACCATGGAATTCCTCTGCGGCTGGCTTCTTCACTTCTGCTAATTGAGGTAGAGAAAAGACCACTCACCCACGTGCTTATACAAGTGTGTGCACACACACACCACACATACAGACCACATTCGCACACACACATGTGCACACACAAGCAACAGGCACACGTGCACACACATATGCACACACACACAACACACATACACACATGCACACACAAACAACACACATATGCACACACACTACACATACACATCACATTTGCACACACACATACACACACTCCACACATATATACACACATATGCACACACATGCACACATGTGCACACACACACGCACACACATACACACATGTGCACACACACATATGCACACACAAACAACACACATATGCACAAACACCACACATACACATCACATTCATGTGCACACACATACACACATATGCACACACATACACACATGTGCACACACACATGCGCACACACATACACACATATGCACAAACACCACACATACACATCACACACGTGTGCACACACACTACACATACACAACACACATATACATGCACACACACACACACACCAGTGTAACGGGATAACTCACCGCTCATGCTGGATGTCCCCTTCCCCTCCTAGACAATAAATCAGTGCCGTAAGGTTTATTGTCAAAGGAGCTAGAGGCACAGCTCAAGTGGTGGAGCACCTTCCTAGCAAGTACAAGGCCTTGAGTTCAAATCCCCACACTGCCAAAAAGGAAAAAAAGGAGAAGCTTATTACCCACCACATGGCATGTGTCAGGCACTGGGAAACCCATGTGTACAAGTGCAGAGTTTGATGCGTGGTAACCCAGTCAGGGGGTTACCAGATTGGATTTTGTGGAAACCTAAAACCATGCTTTCTGATTAGCTCCCATCCTACTGTCAGGTGGGCAGCAGGAGAGTGCAGACTGGTTGGACCCTAGCAGTGACTGTCTCCCCAAAACACCTTCCCCACTGCAAGTACCCACAACACACACCAGAGCCCATGGCACTCCCACACGCTGGCCCATGGGAATCCAGTCCCTCTTTTGATACTTTCTGAAAGCAGCCTTAAAACTGTCAATGTAGGATTCATCTCGCCTCTGTTCTGAACCTCTTACCCTCTCTCTGACCTTGAAAAACACGTGTCTGGGAGCGCTGGTGCATTGGGCAAACCTGGGGCGAGCCATACCCAGGGTCTCACTCTTGAGACGAGGGCCCCGTGGTATAACGGCTCCCGCTGGGGGACTGCAGTCTCACAGCCAGGTTCCAAGTGCCAACTCCTGTATTTTAACAGTTGCAACAATTTTGGAAATAGACTTAACCTCCATAAAAGTTGTACCCAGTTGCCAGTGTTGCTAAACCGAGTGCCTGGCACCCAAGAAAGCTTCAATAAGCATCAGCCAGTTGCAGTATTAAATTCTCACTGATAATCATTTACCCTTCCATCCATCCTTGGGGATTTTTTAACGAAGTAAGCCAATCTTAGCAGATAATATTTGTGAGAAAGTGATTTGGTTCATGTGCTGACACCAGGCCGGGCTCATGAAAGGAACATCTGGCCCCACTTCCTAATTTCCAGCCTCGGGTTTCCTTGCCAGTCCCTATCAGCAACAATCTGCCACCGGTCTGATGTCCTCACACAGCTGCTTTGGTGGAAAGGTTGTATTTTAGCTGTTATCGAGAGCTAAACTGACATGTGTGAGTCTAAAAATATTCTTACATGCAATCTTCCTGAGACTAATTAATACTGCCTTATCTTATGAATCAGCCTCTGGAATCAGGAAACTTTTCTTTTGCCTGACTCCTTGACTTCTCTTACTGCAGGCGGAGCAAAAGCTACACGCTGCCTTTTGAGTTTAAAGCAACTAATTATATCTGTAGTTCGGGACCGCCCGAAATATAACTCCAGGCTTCCGGCCAGGTTCAGCGCACTATGCCCGCCTGCTTCCGCTGTCACTCATTGTCATGCTGTCACTCATTTACTTGCTCAGGAATCCCAGGCTCGTAAGTCGAAAGCCAGCCTGGAGGGAGTTAGACATCGCACACATTGTAATGTGCTGGTGAGCGGTGCCAATGGGACTAAATATTCACCAGCGGTGCTTGGTCCCAGGTGCTAAATAAACTAATTACAAGTGTTCCACGTCAGAGCTCAATCAGTCAGTCAATCTGCAACAAGACACCAAAAAGAGAGGGACTGTGTGATGCCCCAGTGCAGTACTGTAAGAAACTAGAGTTCAAACAACTTCAGATCATCTAATCTGGGTTAAAAATGTGTGAATTCTGTAGTGGTTGTTGATTTTGTCACTCCATGTCCCTATTCTGGGGTTCACTGGTGGCCTAAGGCATGCCTGGCACTTCTCACCTTTCTGTTCATTTCCCCCTCATCAGAATCCTGGGTGGCCCTATCGGAAAGGTGAGAGAACAAAAGCTTAGCGGAACACTTAAACTATCCAAGAGATCACATCAAGTATTAAGTAGCAGGTATCTGTGAAACTTAAGATAATTCGAGTTTATTAAATAAGCTAGAAAGCTAAAGGACTGGAATGAATGATAAAAGGAAAAAAAAAAATAACCCAGGCAGCACCTTCCTGCATTCAGGACTCACTGCTAACAAAAGAAAATACAGTGTGTTTCATTACAAGAAGCAGGCGACGCCTTCATTTACATGGAGTCAGTGGGAGAGGAAATGGCACACGGAAGGAAATTGTTCAGATACATACAGCCTCAGAAACTTTCTTTCAAATATTTTCATTGAAATGTTTCCATCCTAAGCCACAGTGCCCTGTGCTGTATACGGGTATGCTGAATGTGGTCCCCGGGTAAAGATTCACTGCTGAATGTGGTCCCCGGGTAAAGATTCACTGCTGAATGTGGTCCCCGGGTAAAGATTCACTGTTAGCAATATCCACTCTCTCACTGGCTATAGGTAACTGTATCCTCCAGGACGGTGGGAGCTGCCACAGGTGTCAGTCTGTTTGGGTCAGTGTCAAGGGACCACTCGCCCCTGTGTCTGTGTTTGCTGTCTACCTGCTCTTCCTTTCCCTTTCTCTGTCATCTGTCACTTGCTGACACCACTGAGCATGCTTTTCTTTTTCTAATTTGAAACATAATTTTTACTTTTTATTTTTACACCACAGTGTGAGTATGACATCTCAAAATAAATAATAGAATGCAGATACAGGATTAACAACAGACGTCAGGAAGGTTACTTCCACTAAGCCTAAATCCCTGGTTTATATTCCACACACATTCACAAAATTACATTCAAATCATTCCTCATCAATACTTTTTCCTTGGGCTGTGAGAAAAGGAAAAAAGCACAAACATTCAATTTTCATAGAAAGTGAATCTGGATTCATCTAAACACTAAAGTCCTTCCATGTGTTCTGACTTGAGAAAATTTAGGACATGAAGATAAGTCTTTGTCTGGGTTTCCCAAGCACATTTCATTAGCCATTGGTGTCATTTCTGTAAGTGACATTGAAGTTTCCACAAAGGGACAGGAACTGGAGCTGGCCAGAGTGGGTGTGCAACTTCACATAGAGCAAAGTTTTCCCCATATTCTTCTGAGGAAGCCAACACAACTCAGTTTTCACTTCCTTTAGTGACGATGTTGTACATTTTTATCATTAGGGTTTGGAAAAGATCAGGACACATTCTATTCCTCTATTATTGGTGGTGAGGAAGGAGAGAACTGTAAGGCCTCACTTCCAAGTGACTTCCAAGTGTCAAGCGTTCCCAAAAGTATGGTGTCTGCCTGTGAAAGCCAAGTGTCTGGGTTTCACGCATGCCCTCCTGGCAGTGGCACAGTAGCCACTCAATGACACTACCTAAAACCTCACCCACACAGTATTTTCCCTTTTTGAGACAGTCTTGCTATGTAGCCCAGGTTCCTCCTGTCTCAGTCTCCTGCAGGCACTGAGCTTGCACTGACAAGTCATGTCCCCAACATCCAAGGAACTCTGACTTGGTTAAATATGCTTTCTAGAACTGTACATAACGAAGTGAAATGGGCTCTTGACCAGGGTGTTTGAAAATCTCCAGCTGTGCAAAATATTTAACACACTAAGGACTCTGACCATAGACACCAGCATAACCTCACCTGGATTGACAATATCAATCGCATCAGGTAAGCAGATTCTGCCATCTTGATCCCAAGTGGCATTCAACATTACCCTTAATGATAGAAGACAGATTGTTCCTGTCAAAAGCAGAAAAAAAGGAACACTCTTTCATTATTTTTCAATATTCAGAGAGTTTATCCACTGCAACAAAGCAAAGGAAAAAAGTTAATAATAATTGGAAAAAAATAATAACTGATTCAAAAATACATTGGGGAAAAAGACTAATTTTTAAAATGCATGAATAAGTTAATCAAAATTTAGAAAATTTTGCTGAAGAATCAAAAAGAAATAACTATATTACAGCCCCACATTAGTAAAAAAGTTCTCAAAATTATTGATAATTTAATGACTCCTATCAAAAGCTCACTTTTCTGATAATTCTAACAATTTCTAAAATTATTCTAACAAAATATTTATTGTAAAAATTTCAAAAACAAGAATAAGGAGACACTTTACCCAATGTTAGATTTTATTGTTATATTTAAATATTAAAATAACTTTGCTATTACATACAAGTTAGAAAACAGGTTAATGGATCTAAATACAAAAATCTCAAAACCGACAAAATGCACAAAAAACTTTGTGTATATGATGAAGATGACATGGTGAAACGTAACTCTTGAATTAAAGTGTTTTGAATTCCCATTCCCTACCCCAATACAGACAAATTGTCGGTGTGTAGACTTTCTGAACCATAATTTTCCCATCTTGTCCAATGGTGCTAATTTTGACAAGATTGAACAAAATAATCTAAGTAAAGCAATCATGCCCTAATGTCTGAGTCCAAGAGAAAATGTAAGGGAGAAAGTCGAATGTGTTTGTCTGGAGTTCAGGGGAGTGGCCAGACCTGGAGTCTCAAGTACAGCTGAACAATGGGTAACCATCCTGGCTCCCGTGGCAGGATGCGATAGTAGGATGGGGTGGGCTCGAGAGGAGAAGAAAATTGGAAGAAGGTGGAGGCATAAACACCTTCTCGTCTCCAACATTAATTCACCGTGTGTTTTTCTGCCTCTCTTTCACCCCCTTCAAACCACCCAAGTCGTTTTCTAGCTCTGTCGCTATAGACAAGTCACTTAAACACTCTGTGCCTCAGTAGCCTCATTAGCAAGATCAAGACAAAAATCTCTGGTGAAGATGAAGTGAGTTGATGTACACATGGAGGTTATTGCACTTTGGCACATGGTCTGTGCTAAGTACCTATTATTCAACTTTCATCACCACTGTTACTCAGGTTCCTCCCTGCTCTCAGAGTATGAAACAATAAGGGATGGTCTACAGATTTGTTCAAAGCAAATCTACAGATGGGGTGCATGTGCTTTGGAGAAGGATGGGGAGTATTATAACAGTATAATATGAGCCATGAGCCATGAGGATAGTCTTAAATACTCAAGAAGCCATTTAAAAAGTAAACGCACTTACTGGATGCGGTAGTTCACATGTGTAATCCTAGCTACTCGGGAGGAGATCAGGAGGATCGTGGTTTGAGGCCATCTCAGGCAGAGAGTTAGGGAGACCCCTTCTCAACCAATAAAGCCAGGCACGATGGCACAGGCCTGTCATTCCACCTACACAGGAAGCATAGATAGGAAGATCATGGTCCTGGTCAGCCTAGGCATAAATGCAAGACCCTGTCCCAAAAAAACCGGGGGTGTAGCTCAAGTGGTGGAGCACCTGCCTAGCAAGTGCAAAGCCCTGAGTCCAAAAAATGAGAAAAGCAGTAGGTATGAGGGGATCGGTACCAGTAGGAAAAAATGAGAAAAGCAGTAGGTATGAGGGGATCGGTACCAGTAGGAAAAAATGGGAAAAGCAGTAGGTATGAGGGGATCGGTACCAGGAGGAGGGAAGGGGGAAGATGTGGAGAAAGAGTGGAAGGGTGAAGATGGTGCAAATACTGTGTATTCATGTACAAAAATGGAAGATGATACTGTTGAAACTATTCCAGGACTTGGGGTAGGGAGAGCTAAAGAATGGTGGAGGGGTGAATTCAACTATGATATATTGGATACAACATAAGAACTTTGTAAATGCCACAATGTACCCCACCCAACACAACAATGAAAAAAGAGGGGAAAAAGCAACAGATAAGATTAGTTTTAGCAGCATATTCTCTCTAATCAAATATATCCAAGCTCTCATTATTTCAACATACAAGTAATATAAATCTTATTGGTGAGATATTTTACATAATTTTGTGCTAATTCTTCCAAATCCAGTGTATACTGTGCACGTGCCCCAAAATCTATTCCATTTTAAGGCGAGCTAGCCACTTGCAGGGAGGACCTGTCACACCAGACAGCAGAACTCTAGAAAAATGGTGAGATCAGGAGCCAGACACATGACATGTCCAATGAAGACAGCCACAGGGGAATAATGAAGAAAACAAGCAAGTTTGATGAAAGATAGAGAAGAAGGAAATGCTTCTGCAAATGAAAGATAACTGTACTTTTCTTTCCCGTGATAAAATGTATACGTTGTCATTTCCCTGTCAAACAGAATCCTGATACGTGATGTGCAGGAAGAGATTGAGAAACAGTTTGATGTTAAAGAAGATACGACAGGCAGGCACAGTTATGCAAAATACAACAACTGGGACAAGGTACGGTATAAACCTCCTGTTTGTCAATACAGCAACCGTCACCACTTATTGTTACTCAATTTTCCTTCACTCTAATTCCTCACAGTTGATCTTGCTCTTAAGATTGTAGCTTGGACTGAAAAAATGGTGGGAAAACGTCCTGACGTGGTCTCTCGGATTAAAATTGGATCCACAGTTGAAGATAATCCACTGTATGTTCTCAAGGTAAAAATAACTTAAGAACCACTGATTCTTGTTATAGAAACATGAATTTAAGAGTTAGCTTGTGACACGACTGAACTAGTTTTGAGACAGCAGAAAGTCTTATCTTTTTTTTTTTCCTTCGAGACCAAGAAAGTTTATTAGTAAAGCAAAGCAAAGAGAGGAACATGGAACTCCACCCAGACATGGTACACACATCTGAGAACAGGTCTAATGAGTGCTCCAATGTCAGGGGTACTTATGGTGAAAAAGTAGGTTAGGGTTTGGCTCAAATTTACGTTAGGATAAGTGCTCCCTTTGTTTTGACACCTCGGCAAAAAAGTCTTATTTTCTGAAGAATATTTAAACTCTGGACATCGATTCAAGCATAAGCAAGGAAGAGAGGAAAGGTTTGTCAGAACCGCACAGCGGGCAAACCCAACAAACATCTCATTCCACATTCTTACTACAAGAGTTTTTGGTGGCCCTGGTGAATCAACCCCTTTCCCAGCCAGGAAAATTCATGGAACAGATGAATGAGTGTTGTAGAGAGGCATTTAATTATCACACACTCATGGATCCCAGAACAGCACAGCGGGGTTTCTCAAGGCCAATTTGGGGGGATCCCTCTACAGCAGAGTTAATGATGGGCTCTTGGCTGCTGCTGGATTTTTGTTCATCTAAAGACACCGCTCCCTGGAGCATCCCACAACTACTGGGAAGCCCATCCTGACACTGAACCCCTTCATTCAGTGTCTGCAGTCACACACACCCCAAAGAAATCTAAACTCTCTTCAAAGTGACAGCCCTTCAAAAATATCTGGTACTGTGTGCACCCCTAACTCCAGGCGTAACACAAAATCTTCTCCCCGCCAGGCTAAACAACCCCCGGTTTATGAAAACAGAAAAAGAAAAGAACACAGAAGTAACAATGTCTCAAACACAGGGTGTCAGCAATAAAATAAGAAAAACCATAGATTATGGGGGGGTTGGGGAGGGACAATACTGGGGTTTGAACTCAGACCTCATGCTTGCTAGGCAGGCACTCTCCCAACCCTTTTCGCTTTAGCTATTTTTTTCTAATAGAGTCCCATATTTTCGCACTGGACTGAAATCCTACTATCTATTGCCCCCTGGGTAGCTGGATGACAGGCACACGCCACCACTCCCAGTTCATTTGTTTAGATGGGGGTCTTGCTAACCTTTTGCCTGGGTTGGCCTCAAACTGCAATCCTCCTTGTAGCTGGGATTATAGGCATGCATGTACCACCATGCCTGCAGATTATTATTTAAAAAAAAAATATATATATATATATATAAGCAGCTCTTACACTAGGAAATTTTTCAAAAAGAACTCAAGACAGCAGGTTACAAATAATGTGTAGACATTTAAGGACTTGTGCCATTATCCTCCTGAGAATCTGTGCAAATATAGCTCCCATTCAACAAGACAGGGGAGAGGACTGTTTGGAGAACATGAATGAGTCATTGGATGACAAGGGATCCACGTGTGGGTTTGTGTAAAATAACACCTCAAGTTTATTTTTAAATAGATCGGGAAGGAAAATGAGAGAAGGGCTATTTTCATGGACTGTGGCATCCATGCACGAGAGTGGGTTTCCCCAGCATTCTGCCAGTGGTTTGTCTACCAGGTGAGTGAATCACAGATCTCACGATTCTGACTGCTGAGTCTCCATCACTTCATTGGGGTGACACCCTTTCCAAGGCAGCAGAGTCCCCCTTAGCTAAAGGACACTGTATCTAGTGCCATCGGGCAGAAAGGCTCTGGACTTTATTCATCACTACAGTTTTATAAAATTGGTACCTTCCTTCAAACTTCATGAAGCTAAGAGTTTATGAAGGTAAAAGAAACTTTTTTGATTATAAGGTGAAAGTATGTGAAATCTGAAACCACCTTTCTATTATGAACTGCAAATTTAACTTGAATGAACCCATATCAGATATGTCAGTTTACATATCTGATGGCCTTGCATGAACTTGGAATTTTCATGCTAAATCTCCTCTCCAGATAAGAAATAACTCTGTTTTTAAGATTCTTTACGTTTTTTTATATTTTTATTGTACTGAGGGTACATTGTGACTTTTACCAAAGCTCTTACACTATATCATACCTGAATTCAGCCCCTCCATTATTTTCCTTTATCCCACCTCCAAAATTTTTAAAAGTTAAATCTAGCTAATGTGTTTCTCTACTCCTCTCCATGAACTGTTTATGCATTCTGACTCCTACTTCCTTTTAACCTTCTCTTTCCACTAACTTTTGCACACACACTTTGGAACAATGGTTGTTAAGCCATAGACACATTCACTAGGAAAGAATCTGCCATAGAACTGATTTGTACCTAAGCTGTTTTAGCTCTCCCAACTAGAGGCCAGGTATCCCTTCCTCAATGCATAAAGGAGCAAACATCATAGGACCATAAGAAATCTCCTGGAGCTGGGCATGGTTCTTCATATCTGTAATCCCAGTGGTTGCTGGATAGAGGCACGAGAATTACATGTTCCAGGTCAGCCTGCAGTACAGGGCAAGACTGTGTCTCCAAAAAAAAAAAGTCTCTTGGCTTCAATAGAGATGTGCCTGGGAAGGATTTTCCAAGACTGGTAAGATTTTTTTGGTAGTTATATAAAGCTCAGATAATAAGAGAAATCTCAGAAAAACATTGATTTGATCAGTCTCTAAATTTCTGGCAATTTTATTTTTAATTTTATTTATTGGTGGTGCTAGAGACTGAACCCAGGGTCTTGCAAATGCTATCCAAGACTTTACCACTGAGCTATATTTCCAGATAGAGATTTTTATTAATAAAAGTTTTTCCTTGGTTGGGAGTATGTCTCAGTGGTAGAACACATGCTCAGTGTAAAACAAAATAAAGAATCTTTTCTTTTGTCCTATTTATAAGTATTTATGACCTCTCTCCAGAATTTCCATATCCTGTGCCTGTGGACCGGGTCTGTATTTATGCAAAGGGTGTAAGTAAAGTGTACAACTAACACACCACTCAGTCTCTATTCTTCCTGTGAAACGCGTCTTGCATGCTACAGTTGGAATACCTCATGCTGATAATTAAGTGATCCTTTGAAGAATGTTCATTTTAATGAATGTCACTAGTCTGAAATGTGGAGTTTTTCCTATCACCTGTCTCGGTGATTTGTCTTTGTATAGTTTGGAGAAATAAGTTTAAAATCATTTGACCTTGGGCAAATGACTCAAGGAATGACAGCGAGTACTACTAGAACCATAGCTTTCCATGGGGTAGCTCAGTTTCACACCGATAACTTGATTTTTTTCTTACCTCTACAGGCAACAAAAAGTTATGGAAAAAACAAAATTATGACCAAACTCTTGGACCGAATGAATTTTTATGTTCTACCTGTGTTCAACGTAGATGGGTATATTTGGTCATGGACACAGGTACTGCTTCATAGTCTCCTGTTTGCATTTAAATGCTTCATTATTTACTGGCTTTAATGCACACTGATTGCCAAGTATTAAGTTCAAGATCTGGGTAACTGGTTAATTCCAATTCAGAGAGGTATATTTTTTAGTTTTATTTCAGACTAAGTCAGCTGTGGTTCCCTGGTTGCATAGATGGCCTCGAAAGAATACAATATTCTTGGAGGTGAAGCTAACTAACATCATGAGAAAAGGACACAATGCAGTCATTTAGAAGGAAATGCATGATTATATGACAGGACAAATCATATTCCTACTGAAAATAAGTCACTTCAAGACTTTCATGGGCACACTGGTTTCAAAGCAAAAGTTATTTTACTCTCAATTTGGAAGAGGGGTGGGGTGGAATCATTGCATCAAAAATTAAGAAGAGATAGATATTTTATAGGATGTTTGGTTGTTCCACAATTGCCAGAAAAGATTAATACTGAGCTTTCTGGTCAAATGCTAGCACATCAGCTTCTTTTCTGAAAACTACATTCTAACAGTCATGTTATGAGCTATAGTTTACCTGAATCTGTAAATAGAAAAAGATATTATAATATTATAACTTCAATTACAGGCAATTTCAGAGTCTTGTGGATCTTTTCTTCCAATCAACCACTTTTAAAACTACCTGAATTATTTCATTGAGGTCTAAGAATATTGGTATTAAAGCCTCATTTCTAAAAACAGTACAAATTGTAAGAAAACAATATCTTCTTTAAAATAAAAGGGCTCCAGTTTAATAGATAGGTTCCAAACAAAGCCATAGACACCTGCAGAGAGAATCCAAGGTGGTCAAACTGAAAAGGGCAAATGCTCTTGTAAACACTGCCATTCAATCCCACAGAACCGCATGTGGAGGAAAAATCGCTCCAAACACCCAAACTCCACCTGCATCGGCACTGACCTCAACAGGAATTTCAATGCTTCGTGGAGCTGTGAGTTCAGACTTGCTCTCAGGGAAAATTGCTGGAACGTTTATGCTCTGAACTTAACGAAATCACCTGTTCACTTCAGTTAAAATGGGTATTCCCTGAGTGAGTGCTAACTTTCCTATCTATTACGTGAAGACAGCCATCAGTATGGTAGAAGGGTCGTGAATGTTTTCCTGTGGGAGGAAGAAGACATTTGTCAAGCTATCTCTCACTGAATTATCTAGCTTGCTAAAAGACAGGCACAATCCAGATGTACAAAGATTCAGATAATCCGAACAGAGACCTCAGGTCCCTCCTCTTCCTGGTCTGATAAAAGTTGAGACAGACCAGTGGTTAAATCCAACATACAAGTATTTCTTCAGATGCTTAGTAAAAGCAACATCTGGGGCAAAAAAAAATTAAAGTGAAAAGCTTAATGGGAATTTAAAGAGGCTGAGACCCACTCCATCCCATGACACTGCAGTGGGCACACAACAATGGTCTTATGGCTATAGGCTGTCAGGAAGAAATTACCCCTTCTTTGCCTACTTTGATTAAAAATATCACCTTTGCTTTTAACTCTGTTCCACTCAAATAAATATGATAATAGTAGCAGCTCTTCTTAATCAAGAACTTCCTCCTGAAAGAGGCTGAAGAAACTCAGGCTCGTGGACCAAGTCCGCTACCATATGGCATGTGTGCGCAAAGTCAATGTGCAGAGGTATTCAGACAGCCCTGTAAACACGAGGCCCGAGTGTTTACAACATTTGGGGATCAGCCATCAGAAGGCACGGGGACTATGCCGACAGATGGCAGGTTGTGAGCTCATCCACCATGTCCTCCACAGCTTCTCCGAGCACCAACCACCCATGTATGGATACCTATCGGGGCCCTGCACCAGAGTCTGAGAAAGAGACAAAAGCTGTCGCTGACTTCATTCAAAGCCACCTGACGTCAATCAAGGCTTATATCACCTTCCATTCCTACTCCCAGATGCTGCTGTTTCCCTATGGCTACACATCAAAACTGCCACCCAACTATAAGGACCTGGTACGTAAGAAATCTTCTCTGCTTTGTACATTGATGCCATCATTGACTTTCTTCTGTTCATTCACTTGGGTTCCAGTGAAGCAGTTTCACATTTTTATATGCCAGAAGAAGGAACTAATGAAGTCAGCCTTCAAGTTAAAGTCATGACCTGTAGATTCATTTTTCATCTGATAAAATTATATAGATAATAAAATCTTTCAATATGATTTTAGGAAAAAGCCAGGAGGAGGAAATGTCTAGGCCACCCTGCGTGCTGTACACATGAATTGTCACAATGAAATCCCCTCAAATTATTAATTGATACTAATTCAAAAATTAAATTAAAAAAGAACACCATGCATAGTTTCCAATAAATCACAGGAACCGTCAGGGTGAACAGGTGACTTAAAGGATAAATACCTTGAATTACTATAGAAAAAAGAAAGTAAAGCAGATAAAGTCAGTGTCCCAATTCCCAGTGGTCAGCAAGCAAGGACATCCAGAAGAGCTGTGCGTCAAATGCTGCCTTCTAAAATTAACTCAGAAAAAAACAGGTCATGGTTCTCATTTGGACCTCAGTCAATCAGAATCAGCACAACAGCATTTAACTTTAGTTAGATCAGAGATGGGAAGCAGTCATTAAGTCCATCTGTGCACACACAGCAAAGAAAATATGCAATTCATGGCCCAGAGTTATTTATTATTCAATCTAGACAAGAATCTAAACCCTTGAGTTTGATTAATTTGTGCAGATATGGCAATTCCATTTCAATCTCCTCTTGGGAAAATGACATTTTGGATAAAAAAAACACTCGTGTATATACAACAAGCAACTTGGAGTAAACTAAAAGTTCTCTCACAGCAACCAAAGAAATTTAGAAAGAAATCTGTTTCTTCAGTATGTACATTATATATACCGACTTTAAAATCTTCATATCAGAATATATTAGTGATTATATTCCATTTACATTCATTCCGATAGCGATTCTCATAACACAGAACGCTGATGTTTACTAAAGGTCATGAGATGCCACTCTGGAAGAGAAGCCCTCATTTAGCAGAATTATTTTAAAGAGGAGTCAGTCAGCTTTCTTCCCCAGGCATGAACTCAGACAAGTGGAGAATGTCCTGGGGAAAATACAGGACTATTGCAGAGGAAGGAATGGAGAACACAGAAGAAACTGCAGAGACCGACTTTGTAGGGGACAAAGGATAGATAGATAATAGATGGATGGGTAGATAGATAGATGAGATAGGTTGATTGATATAGATAGATAGATAAACAGATAGACAGATAGGTAGAAGAGAAGGAAGGAGAGAGAGAAGGAGGAGAGAGAAAAGATATGGCATTACTGCATACCATTGACTATACATTTAGAAGTCTTTACAAAGACAATATAGCTTACTGAAAATGCTTCTCAATTAATCATTTATTTTATTTTGATCTAAATTAAGGGTATTCACACAGTATTGTACAAATTCCCCTCTAACTTTTCCTTTCACTGCAGGTCAAAGTCGCCAAGATCGGCACTGAAGCTCTGTCAACTCAATACGAAACCCGCTACATTTATGGCCCAATAGCATCAACAATTTGTAAGTTTTTCCTGTCATTTACTATGACTTTTTCCCTAATTCTTTTTTATAAATATTGAGGACAATTATCAACTTTATAAATTAGGGTTAGAAATCTGGGATTGCTCATTTAAACTCCAGTTTCTGCAGGAGATTCTGAGCTAATACGTGTGCACCTTGGGGAGAGATTATGCTTGTTTATTGGGATAAGAGTTTTTCTAGAAGCGAATTTACAAGATTATGAGGTTAACAGAAATTAGTAAATCAAGACGAATTTAGTTTCAATCACCCACCTTTCTTTTCCCCACCTCCACCACCAACAATGTTTTATCTTCATGGCAACTAACAATTATTAAAGTTTGGCAGAGTCCATGCTTAGTTTTTAATTAGTGTGCTTTCATTGGACTCTTTCTTCTTTAGACTCTTTCTTCATGTGAGCAGAGTCCTTTCCCTAAGTCCTGGTGAGAAATTGTGTAATCAGTTTCAGCCCCCACGGGTGTGGAAAGCCAGCTTCTTGTCCTTCTGATCCGACCCTTCCCATCAGGGGCCGCTGAGATCCGTGTGGTGAGCTGAGAAAGGGAAACCACCGCGAGGCTCCCTTATTTTTGCTTTATAGTCCAGCACTATGAAAGTGCACCTTGCTGTTTTGGGCTTTCATCAAGTCTGTCTCTGGGTGCCTTTTAACTCTTGACCAAGACTTCCTGGTGTTGATTTACTTGTCTTGTTTTCCATATACAAGGAATCAGGAAGCTTTCTGCAGAGTAGTTTGGCTTTGCTGACAGTATGGCCTCAACTGGGTCTTTGTAGCCCAAAAGCACAGAGACTAAGTTAACAAACAGGCATAGCTATGTTCCCATAAATCCCATTTGCAAAGACAAGAGGCCAACTCTCACACCACATGCTAAATAATATCTGAAATTATGTAGGCGCTGTGTTCAGCCCTTGATGGTGACAATCTCGGTTAGTCATCACAAAACCCTATGAAGTGAGCAGTACTATTTAGCAGTTGCCAGTAACTGGCAAAATTAGGACTCAATCCTAAGTTTTAACAAAACCCAAGCCCTTGATTTTGACCACTGTGCACACTGCTTTCCCATTTGCTTTTGTAACTACAACAGCCAGGATTTTCTACTTTCAAGCAATAACATCAACAACAAAATGGCCTTTGGTGATTTTCACCAAAGGCCATTAATTCAGGCCCTGGGAATTGAGATCATTCCTGCTCTTACAGCAAGCTCTGTGTCCCCTGAGCCCCAGGCCCCCGAGCACATAGCACAGGGCAGGATAGGGAAGAACAGTGGAATTCGTTCCCATAAACCTGCTCGAGGAAAATCAAAACAGGAAATGGGTTGAAACCACCACGAGACTGGGCTTGATCTGGCTTGCATCGCTCTCCGACTATGATGTCTAATGCTCAAAAAGTGAAAATCGAACTTATACTTTCACACATTTCATGCACAACCCCCCACCACCAAACACACTCATATTCACCTTCTGCTTTCAGAATCTGTGAGTTTTCTAAAAATGTGTGTGTGGATTTTCAATAACTCTACATGGCCACAGCTTCCAAACACTTACAGGCCAAAAGCATCAACTTGGTGTGAATAGTTTGCCTTCCCGGTAATCACTAGGGAGTTTTAAAATGCTGTCACCACATGCTGTGTTTAGAGTCTGCTCGTTGGAGGCTCCTTTGGTGGAACTGTAAAAGTAAATGGCACAGAAGATACATCCTACTTCCAGAGAACATTCATCAGCAATCACCTGTCAGCTGATCCTTACTAAGGGGTTGAAGAGAAAGTATAGTGACATTTGTGCTCCTCAGCATCCAAAGATCTTGTTACAACACAGTCCATGCCAGGGACTTCTTATACCTACATAGGGATGACAAGATTGCAAAGAAAAATGAAATACTCCCCACTACATGAGTGGATAAGAGTGAGCAAAGGAAGGGACAAACAGTCTAGAGCAACAATGTAGATGGCAGCCTTTGTAGCAGGCACCAGGAAATAGCAGGGCTGGGGGGCCACCCAGACGCCATGGAAGAGTTGCTCCTCTGAGCAGGAAAAATACACAGATGCCCTTGGGGTCCAGCAGAGAACAAAGGGTTCCTAACAGAAGCTTCCCAAAGACTATTGGAACATCAGGGGATTATCCATTGGGGGAGGTGGTAAACAAACAGGAGAGTTCTAGAACTATGCACAGCCCCAAATCACGACCTCAAAGTGAAGGAGAGTTTATGGAGTCTGTGTGTGACAGCCCTGAACTCTGGAGCATCCAGAGTTGAGACATGGTAACTGCTCTGAAGGAATCCACCTTTAAACTGGGAGGAGCAGACAGCCTCCACACCAGCATGTGTCACTTTCAAATGACTGTTCTGTACAACAGAAGTGTTTTAATTTTTATTACCTTATGCAAAAACATTTTTTAAGAAATGGAGCTTTGGAAAGAATTTCCTCTTTCGCATACGGCCAGACACATCTCCATTTCTTGGAGTAACTGCTTTAACAGAGCATCTGGCTGAAAGTTAATCAGACCTTCAGGAGAAGCAGAGAGTAGCAAAGTGGTTGACTTCGTAGGACTAGAAAGTAAAGGCATCTCACGAGTAAAGTCATTCCACCATCCTGATGATCACTTAACAAGCCCCAGAATTTGGAGAAAACATCTAACTTATGGCACTATTCTTTTTTTTTTTTTTTTTTTTTTTTTTGATGAAGACAGAAGAAAGGTCTTTGGGAGCATTTTTTAAACCCAAATCATGGAAAGATATCTGACCCTCAGAAAAAATAGATATAAATTTGCAATTTGAACCCAAAAAAACAAATATATATATATATATGTATATCAGATAAGTTAAAATCATAAATGTTGGAACCAGGGGGGAGCCTGGTAGATGCTACAACCCATGGTTCTCAAGCCCAGTCTCCCAGTAGAGCCACAAGGGACAATTAAACACCATGGGTGACCAGGTCCCACTCCCAGAAACTCCGATTCCACCAGTCTAGGGTGGAGCCCAGGTGTTTGCATGTTTTTAAAGTACCTGAAGTGATGGTAAGATGAAGCTAGGGTTGAGGACCACTGATGCAGGCTAACTCGCTCATTCATAGCCTGTGCAACTGAGGCACAGAAAGACTTTGTCACTTCAGGGAGGAACAGGAACTAAAGTCAGCATTCCAGACCACAGTCAAATGGGTGTATGGGCTATCAACTACTTCGCCCCCAAAACAGCAAAATTCGGGTGGCCCAAATATTTAAATAATGATGTGAAAAGATTTTGAAATATTTACACTTGCATATTAACAGTACAACAAGTCCTTCACCACCTTGGAAGTAACTGAGCAGTACCGAGTGAGCAGAAATCGTTGTTGGAATTGATAGGAACCAGGGAGCTCGAATCATTTACAACACCACTCTGTGAATCGCATGAATTAAGAAGTTGATTTCAAAATGCTTTCCTTGCTCCTTTCCCCAAAACTGCAATGTCTGCTTCTGGTCCTCAACCCCGTGCTCGTCTCCATTCTCCATTCTGAAGAGGAGACAACGGAGACTTGCCACCCTAGACACCAGTCTCTACTTCCTAAGATTACATCAGGAGGCAAGAAAAGGGCAGAATAAATATTTTAATGTATTCTCATGTGTCTCTGACTTTGACTCTTGCTTAAAATAGAATTTCCACCTGCAAGTGCGGGTTATTATATTTAATGCGTTTTTAAATGGTGGGATTTTCTAGAAAATACCATATTGAGTAGGCAGTAAGTGGAGTCCTCGTTAAGTCAGCAGCACCACCCCATATGAATTCCTTTGGGCTGTCATCAGATTCTGAGCTTTACAGTTTCACTCTTATGCAGCTTTATTGCATTCTAGTAAGTTCCTTGCACCAAATACTGTCCTTGAGAGAGGCAGGAAGTATATTGTTTCCAAATGTTGATATATGAGGGATATTTTGTCCATGAAAAAATAAATTATACTGTAGAACTAAGAGAAGACTTTATTGGGTGTGCACAAGGCCAGTAATACAATGCAACAGTTAACAGCATGAACTCTGAAGATGTGGCCTGGGTTGAACCTGTGTGTCTTTTAGCAAATGGCCTACTCCCTCTCTGCCTGAGTTTCCTCTTCTATAAAAGGGCAATTGGTATTTACATCAGAAGGTTGGGGTAGGAGTTAATTAAATGACTTAACATGTGTAGAGCACTTAGAAGGGTGCCTGGTATTTATCCAAGTGACTATTACTATACTTTATAAATGTACGCATGTATCTTAATGGGTTTTCATGGATGTAATTAAAAGGCTACGTTTCATGTGCAGCAAATTAAGTTCTATAACAACGTCTTCTTAGGGGTTAGAAAGCTCCAACATCGCCTTTATTGTATGCCATGGTGCAGTTTTGTTTACAAATGTAAGGTCCAGAAGATGCTAAAAGGGTATCATAAGAGAAAGTGTATGACATTCTATAACCTCACATAATTAAGAAAACTCACAAATTACTTATATTCTCAGTCACCACTATCAATCTTAATGAGAAATTTCACATAAAGGAAATCTCTCAAGGTGAGGTAGCTATGCCCTGAAACCCTCTGAAATCACACAGTTGACTCAACTCAAAGGGAGAACTGGGACGGCTAAAAGCTGCCAGGTTCATTAAAAGCCTAGCATGTCTGCAGACATGTCCCAGACACTGCTTCTGTCTATTTGTCTCCTGTTCTACTGAACTCTTATCTTTATGCACTTTCCTTCCAGTGAACATAAACCCAACTGGTTAAAAATGGCAACCTTCCGGAATCCACACAGAGATCTCAGCTCACATGCCCTACAAACGCCCTGTGACACTTGACCCTGTTGAACTCTACTTGCCTGAACTTGGCTTCCTTAACTTTGAACGCCTCTTCTTCTCCTCTCCCTCCTCCTTTCTACTCCGTCTCTGGTGACTGTCTCCAAAAGTAACATGCTCCAGCAAGTCAAGTATGGCACACAGACCTCCCAGGAGTCTCTCTTGAGGCCCCCTCCTCTTCCTGCCATCTCTTCCTCAACAGGAAGTGCCTTTTATCCCAGTAGGCTGGAGCCCCCGTTGTTGTCCAGGAAAACAATCACCTTTCACCCATGCAGCTGGAACCAGCGGGGCTCTGTGGGAGCCAGTGGTACCAGGCCAGCCACCCAGGCAAAGGCTCTAAAAGCTTCATTATCATCAGAATCACAAGACACAGCAGTAAGCCAAGACCTGCATGCTCAACCTCAGTGAGGGCAGCACCTGCTAAAACAGAAGACTTATGGTTTAAGATTTAACATACAGCCAGAATTCCAGAATATAATACAAAAAAAAAAAACCTCTTGTCATACTAGATACAAAAAAAAATTAGAGCTTAAATTGAAAAGAGAATCAAAATGCCAACACGGGGATGGTTGAGCTGTTGGAATTATCTGAGAAGAATTTCAAAAGGTTGGAAAACACAATTTCCAACTATTATTCAAAACTAAGAAGGAGCACCAAGCAGCACACACCTGTAATCCCAGCTCTCCGAGGTAGAGGCAGGAGATCAGGAGTTGAAAGCCAGCCTGGGCTACATAGCCATTACTAGTGACCAAGGGAGACATTAGTAAGGATGAGAGGATCTCCCAAGAAGATAACGCTCCAAAATATGGGTGAACCGATCCATCTATGATTTTCTGCCAGTAACTCAAATGTCATTCTCCCAAGTTCCTTCCCAAATGTCCTACTAATATCTAACATGTCCCTTTATCTTCCTTTGTCCTTTCTCTTCCCCAGCCCAGCCCTCTCTTTTCCCCACTGCTTGAATTGAAATTTTAATCATTATTTTATCAAATTCTGTGATCTCCCATCCCATTTTTCTTACATAGAGCCATTCTATTTTATTCCCAGTGTGTGATTTCACCCAAGTTCCAGTTTTCCTGTCACAGCACCTCCCATCTGTTGTCTACCTTCTCCAGTCCAGATTAGCTATTCTAAAGTGCTAAAGTGCCCTGTCACCTCTCAAACAAAACCTGAACACGTCTGATTTGCAGTTTCCCAGATGAGCCCACAAATTCTCACTGCTTCCTTCACTGCAGCCCAAACGGATCTCCCGGGTCCCTAGAAACACCTCCGGGCTTTTCCATCCTCATTGTTCATGGCCAGAACACCGGTCTCCACCTCCACCTGGAGAACACTTGCCTTTCTTCAAAGATTCTTCTCCAGTTCCATCTGAGTCATGAAGCTGGGTCACCCTCCTCACCAAGCACAATCTGTTTTCCCTCGAAGTTTTCATAAAATAGTGCTTTTCTTCTGAGGTTCTTCACCTACTTGCGGTCTGTTGACTTGCATTTGACCTCTCACCAAATGCACCTTTCTTCATCTTTGTACCTTGCACCACCCACCCTCTCCAGGGCCTAGTAAAGTGTATTGGTTTTTTGGTTGTGTTTGTTTTGTTTTTGTTAAAGGCAAGGTCTGACTATGTAGTCCAGATTGGCTTTGAACTCACCATCCTCCTGTGTTGGCCTCCCAAGTCCTGCCACTATAGGTGTGCACAATCACATCAGGCCCAAGTAAAGAATACAGGGCATGGTAAAGGTGTAAGAAATATTTGTGGAATAATTTAAGGACCAACTCTATCTCCACCAAAATGTTCCTCCTCTCTTCATCATAGCCTTGAATTCTTATCTTTTACACCTAAAATGTTCATGTCAATTGTCCTAGGCTATAAATGATTTTACTTATAAAAAACACTTTTCAGGCTGGCGGAGTGACTCAAGTGGTAGAGCACCTGCCTAGCAAGTATGAGGCCCTGAGTTCAAACCCCAGTGACACAAAAAAAGATATAAAAATACTTTTCTACTACATCAGACAAACTCTACATATAAATGCATTTATAGTTATGTACACATACACACAAATATATATATATATATATATATATATATGCCCTCTAAGAGGTATGTTTATATTTTCAATCCTTTTACCAAATATAGCATCTTTGGTAAAACTGACATGAAAAGTTTGAATTAGGGATTAAGTATGTCCTTAAAATGACTTAAGCTTTCTTGACCTTGTAACTGCAAAACACTTGTCCCTAGCTGCATGAATAGCAAGAGGCCTGGGACATGGAACACAGTTTGCACAGTAGTGTGAATGGCTGACCTCGGTGGTTTCCAGCTCCTTCCCGCTCCACTTCCTCAGCCGCTTGCTTGAAGCTCCTTATCTACCGCATGCTCCAGAAACCTCTGCGGCTTAGCGCTGACCCACCCACAGCGTGGTATCAAATGCACCACTGTCCATCTGCAAGGTGGCCGGGTGCAGATGCGTGACTGCTTTGCTGTATGTGCTGTCCTACCCAGAACCCTACTGCCCTTACCGCAATTAACTGTACACATAACTATTTTTTATTGCTAAATAAAAAAATACACCAGCAACTTCCATTTCAAGAAAAACGCTAGTGTTTGTCTCTAATTAAATATTTCCTCCTTCTGTTTTCCAGACCCTACATCAGGCTCTTCCTTAGATTGGGCTTACAACCTTGGCATTAAACATACCTTCGCCTTTGAGCTCCGAGATCAAGGCAGGTTCGGGTTTCTTCTTCCAGAATCCCGCATAAAGCCAACCTGCAAAGAGACCATGCTCGCTGTCAAGTTCATTGCCAAGTACATCCTCAAGCACACGACCTAAGGAGTTTTCTGTGCTTGGATACGCCAGTTAACCCTGCGTTGGGCCTTTCCAGAAAGTCAGCTCCAGTTGTCTGCAGAGGGAGCTGCACCTCTCACTCTGGAGACATGCATTATTTTATTTCTTTTTGCTTTTATTTACTCCCGGTAGCACCGTGACAAAGTGACTTTAAGTGAAACCTTTTAAATCATTTTCCTTGCTCTAAGTGAAATTGAACCCAGTGGAAAGCACTGTTGTGAGTATTTTTAAAGGAGACCTATGGTAGTGCACAGGAAAGAAAGGAAAACCTCACTTTCAGCAGAAGCTGATTCTTTGCCACCTGGCTTCCCCATTTCATGTGCTCACATAATAAAAGATAAATAAAAGTAAATAAAATGCACTCCAGAGCTTTACAAATGCCTCTGTTTTGGTAAGCTATGTTCTCAGCATTTCTTTTAGCTTTAATAATTCAGATTAGGGCTTCTCATTTGGTCTCATGGTAGGAAGGGGTTTCTTCAATTTTCAAAAACATAACTTGTCTCTACATTTTTTTCTGGTAGAAGAAAACATTGTTTCTGTCTTTAAAATAGCAGAGAGTGTCCTACAGGACATAAAATGGTTCACGCACAGGTGAATATTAGTGCTTTAAATAACCAACCTAGTTCTTGTTAATATAATGTACATTAGGTTTAAAATAGTTTAATTTAATCTGTTATAATCAGAGCAAGCTACATGCCAAAACATCTCTTGGCAATTATGGCTGTAGCAAGAAAGTCTGCTCGGCTGACTCTTGCCCTCCTGATAGATAGAAGGAAGCCAGGAAAGGCATTACAAGTTGAAGACCAAAAGCCATGGTGACCAAAGGTAATTGGAATAACCTGCTTTACACTGTCTGTAATCTACTGGTTAAGATGTTGTGATCAGGTGACACCTGCATTCCAGAAACCCGAAGCACAGATGCCCACTACAAAGTTGACCATAATTTTAGGGAGGAGTTCCCGAACTTCCCATAAACTTACCCAAAACCATAGGTCAGAGTTCAGAAGATCCTGAATGGTCCTGAAAACCAAGTCGACAAATGTCCTGGCACAGTGCTCACAAATCTCCTAGGACCCAAAATAGAGAGAAGGCACACCATTTACTTGAGTTTAATATTTCTCAATCAGAGAAAAGTTATCTGAGTAAGTAAAAGTCACAAACCGAAAAAGACTGGTCCTCACCCTAATTGAGTAGATTGTGACTGTTATTCCAGGGTATTTTTCCTCTTTGATGTCACACGAATTATGAAAATAAATATGTGAAGAAAACATCTATATTGAAGTTTAAAAGCTAAGGCGCCATTTTTCTGAGAACTCTTGGGTAGTCAGGGCTGTGTTCTCCCCTTACATTTCTCTTTGATCAGAGATCAAAGCAGCAATAAATAATCTTGGTGGGACACTCATTCACCTGAGCGTCGATGAAGGGATGCAGCTCTGTGCCTCCCAACTGCACCCTGAGACAGCACAGTGCTGTCTGAAATCTGCTCCTCCCTCCTTCCTTCCTTTCCTTCTCCACTTTATTCTCCCTGGAAATAGGGTGCCCCAATTCTGAGCTACACATAGCCATCCAAACAAAGGCTCTGTTTTCTTTTTCAAAAAATAATAAATTTTCTTCTGCATTCTAGTACAATAAAAATTTGGAAAAGAACTTGGATTTCAGAGCTCTAGAAATGTGATCACAGGTCAATACCTTCCTTTCTAATTGAACTGTAAAACTAAGCTACTGGAGTTTCCTGTGCTTTATTTTCTTCTATACAATAAAGTTACGGCAAACATCTTCGAATCAGATAACAAGGTGTTTAAATTGTTACCTCTTAGGTGAATTTGTTGTTTTTCAAATAATGTATCAAGGACAGATTATTCAGACCAGCTTGGGTAGCCAGTGGGTAAATGGTAGAAGGGATCCTTCAGGTCAGCTCGAGCACTCTGGCTTTTCTCCAAGATGGGAAGCTGAACAGCACCATGGAGACCACACAACTCAGAGTTCAAGGAATTCTCACTTTAACCAGTCGTCTTCTGCCTTTTCTGTACTGGTGTCTTCCACTGCCCACAAACCATCTTCAGGGTCTGCCAGGCAAGGGGAATCACAGAGTCACCAGGGAACAAGGATTCCACTGGAACCCAGGAGATCCCAAAAGCTTTACCAACCAAAAGGCAAACCCTTGTGATGATGGGAAATTGAGCTCAATTCTTCCTAAATCTGGATGATCCACAGGTGGCACCAGCAATGGCTTAGAGGTTTCTGATCTTCTAAAAAGGCTCTATTTTCTTTTTTGTTGTTTTTGTTTTTTGGGGTTTTTTTTATTTTTATTGTTTTATTATTCATATGTATATACAATGCTTGGGTCATTTCTCCAGCCTGCCCCCACCCCCTCCCTTATCACCCACTCCGCCCCCTCCCTCTCCCCCCCAACCCCTCAATACCCGGCAGAAAAAAGGCTCTATTTTCAAAACACTATTGCAAATGGTGCTGGGCTATGAGCTATAAGATGAAGCACTGTGAATTGTATGGCACGGTCCAAGATGCTCACTTCAAAGACTTCTAGAACATCCGCTATGGCCCTTGTTTCCTTTTCATTCTCTTTCCATTTGGCTGTAATAAGATCATGATGGTGGATGCTGGTCTATTATTTTAGACCATAAGACAATCTGGAGAATCCAAGGAAAGAGGATGACAGAAGGATTCTGGGATCTTAGGCCTTCACCAGGCAGAGATACTAATCCAGGCTTAGGCTACTTATTTTAGGATTTAAATATGACAAAGAAATAGGGGCTGGGGTGTAGCTTAGTGGTAGAGTGTTGTCTAGCATGCACAAGGCCCTAGGTCTGATCCCCAGCACTGAAGAGAACAGAAGAGAGGCGAGAACAGATGAGAAGGGAAGGAAGGAGGGAGGGAGGGAGGGAAGGGAAGAAGGAAGGAGGGAGGGAGGGAGGGAGGGGGAGGAAATAAAGGTTGTCTTTAGTTAAGCTACCATTGCTCAGTGTCATTGTTCTTCCCCACCAAACCCAATGCTACTAATGGAACAGGTAGCCTGAAAGCTCCAGCTGCTTCTTGGATGGAGACATTAGAAGATGCAGCAGTTCTGGGAAAAAGCCAGAAGCAGAAATCAGGAGGTGCAGATCAAAATTCTGAGTCTACCAATAAATAATATCTAGCAAGAGCTCTCGCCCTTGGCCTTCCCTGCCTGTCCCTAGAGTTTTATTAGAATCTGAGGCAACAGATGCTACCACAGACCCTCTCATCTCCATTTCACAGGTTGCCCTTCTCCAGGTAGATGGCATGGAAAGATGCCACACGACTGTCACCTCAGCTGGGATTCTTCCCAGCTGCACCTCAGTGGCCGTAAGCAATGCTCCAGTGTGCAGGTGTGCACACTCCTGTGTGCAGAGTTCCCATCGGTTTATCACGATATGGAGCTTAAACACAGTTCAATCTGAAACCAGACACAACTCCGAGTTATATTTTCCCAAATAAAATTAAAAGTTACCTCCAACTCTGGGGATCTCTGTTTACACAGTCATTTACTTCCACTTTTGTTGCTCTTGCCTGTTGCTGACAGTTTCTTCTTTGCTTTTTAGTGATCATCAGAGAAAAGTGTAACATGTCCATTAGGTAGAGGGAAAATAGGTCAAAAACAGGAAAAGTAAAAATCGTAAAATTTTACAAGATGATAAATTCTGCCAATTTGTTACGGTGTTACGGTCCTTCCCAGTGACGTGGCGTGTTAACTGTGCACAATACAACCGTGCAATATCCCACAGACACCTCTCAAAGTTACCCCCCAAATGAGGAAAGAATCAGTATACCACCATGTAGGGAGGAACAAGATAAACAAGGAACAGCATGAAATTCAGATTCCATTGGGTCGAGGGTCACCTCGTTTTCATTCAACTGATAACGTAGAAAATTGTGGGTAGGACTCACATTAAAGAAAACAAGTACATAAGTCCTAACAAACTGGAAGGTTTTATTGTGCAAAACCAGCTCAAAGCAACACTTTCTGAACAGTGAGGCTCAGGTGAATACAAAGCAGGGTTGCAAGGTCACCCCTTTACATGTCTTTCCCCTTTTCAACAACCGGGCTTCATGATTAAAATACCCAGCCGTTTTTCTATAATGAATCATAATAGCATCTTGAAAACTCCGGCAGCATATAGGTTACTGTCAGAATTCTCTCCGGCAAAGCTTTTGGGAGCTTCTGTAGCATTTCCTTGTCACAAAATCCATTATGCCAGGACGGCTCTCAGGCTGCCTGAGTAATGTCTATCTGAAGATTATAATTTTGTCATAAAAATTTACTCACGTGAACTTAGCATAAAAGGTCTCCGTCCAGAAAGAACGAATCGAAATGGGTATATTATCTCCTGAACTGCTTTTCTGCTCACTTATCTTTCAATTACAAGCCTTAAGTTCACCGGTGTCAAGAGAGGTTAAGCCAGAAAAATGTAAAACAATTTTTGAAATTTGAGAGGGAAATTTGACACTTAATGCTTCAAATGCATCGCTATTGCCTTGGCATCGCTAAGTGTGCTCTTGATTCTTTTTACACCGTGGATTAAATCTTTAAAAGACTTTGCATGAAACAAAGAAAGATCCAATACGTACAATTCTGTGTATAAAATAATTTGCAGAGACTATGGTTCTGTTCTGATTTAAAGCTTCAATTTCTCTTTTTTTCAATCTACTTTACAAAATTTAAATTTCAGGAGGTAAGTGAAATTTATTTGGGCAAGAGGAGGGGAGGTTCTGTGAAAGCCATCACAGAACAGTGATGGCAATGATCATCATGGACAGTAGCAGCTGAGCAGTCCTGGACAGGTCACAATCGCTCTCCTACTGACCTCTGCGTTTGATCACCACCGGCCTGAGACTTTGAGGATGGAGGCTGTGACTCTTCACCTGCGATAATGAGAGACGTAGCTCACAGTGCATTACTGACTTGAATATTAATGCTGCAAATTGAAAACTAGATTTTCATACTTCCA